TTACTAGTAAGGCCAGGAGCCCCTAGTAGCGTCCTTGCTCCTAGTAGGGATGCCCTTTGTTACTAGTGAACATTTTGTGTTTTCGGGCCTTTCGGGGTGAGAATTCCTGGGTGAGACTCGTCCTAGGTACCATGCGTCACCTTCGTCGCTGAGATTTCACAGTCCGGGGCACACGTCAGTGATGCGTACACCAGGGCCAAAGAGCTCGCGGGTGGCCTCCAGTGCCATCTCCACGAAGACCACGCCGGGCACCACAATCGAGCCGAAAACCACCTGGCCACGAAGACAAGAACTGAAGCCCACTCATTGGACCATTGGGGTTGGAGCGGGCCATGGCAGAGGCAAAAAGATGAGTTTTGGGAGCAAAAGGTGACTCGGAGTGATTTGGGAAGTCCTTGACTGCTGTGATGCTCTAGATATTGATAGTGCACACGTGCTACACTGGTAACGACAAGAGGGCGTTCAAGTGTTTTGGGGGTTCCAGGAGTTTACATCCGCTTGCTTTGTAGATGTGGTTACGCTTCGTCTTTAATATTGCAGTGTCTCATTTGAAGACTTAACAAACAACCAGAGTTTGTTGCCATCTTTGCCATATGTTCTCTTGGCGACGACGCTGAGTACTTCTCCCCACAATCGAGACATAGCGTGGATGGCTGTCTCAGCGCAGGAATCATCAGCCAAAATGGGGGGCCGAACTTTCCCTTGACTGCAGTTTCTGGGATCACTGCATTCTTAGGTCAAACTGCAAGTGCAAATCATACCATTGACAAATTGATGGATGCAAGCCAAGCACTGCAACATTCCATGGGTTGGTGTGCAATGATGGCACCGCCTGGGCTGTCTGGGAATTTTTGAAATTTCTCCTAGCGATACGCCATGTGATACCCCCAAGCAAAATTATCCAAGGCCACGTGGTGCTTCACCACGTCGTAGACGTCCATGCGCATGGCCACCTCGAAGATACCTTCACCTCGGTGGAGAAATTCAGCGAATGCCAGGGGAGTGCCAAACATGTGGATGCTTACTGGATGGCCCAAGATCTCTGTATATCTCTATCAAATGGATTTCAAATGGCCCAAAATGGCTCAGAACAAGATTGATGGCCTACTGGAAAATACTGGAACCAATGCTAGTTGGGCATATGCTTTGTTTGACTGGGGACGTCTCTGGAGGAGAGGAACCTGAGGGAAGTTTTAAAGTCTAGTTTCCGTTTCCGTGAGCGACCAGTAGGGTAAATAGCATAAGTAGGGTGGTTTCACTACTTGCAGATTCGATTCTTGATGAGCCTTGAAATCTTGGCGTTGATGTTGTTTCATCTTCCTTCTATCCTTCACTGTGCCCGCCCACAGCTCCTCCGCGGCTCAAATCCTACAACTCAAAGCGACTTGGCTTGGCGCGGAGGAAGCGGAAGCCCACCTATGGTCAAGGTCAAGTCGGCCCCCAAAATCTGACCCAAGTGGCCTTGGCGTCAATATTTAACTAAACCCATAAGACTTCAGCGTTTTGATCGGAAGCATTGGGTGCCCTGCAAGGGCCACAAAATCCACTCCTGTCCAGCGCATGAAGATAATGATTGTTGTTTATTCGTCCCTGTCTGCACAAACCGACCGCCGCCTCTCGCCATGGGAAGTTTTTCTTCTCGAAAACTGCTGCCGCCAACCGTGTGGGACGCGCATCCACACGGGCATGCACTGGGAGATCTGCCAGCTGTTGACGGAAAGCTTGGGCTGCCTGGGACTGTCACTTCCAGGGACAAATTTGGACTCAAGCTACTTGGTAGCACTTCCAATTTATCTTTAAAAACAACTAGCAACAGGAGATTAATATCAGGCAAATGTGGAAGCACTGCGATAGAATTCAGTTACTTCTCCAACATCTCAAAGTAATTCTACCAAGTCTGATCCAACATGACTTGGTGAGAGTATCCAACAATTTTATCAAAAAGGACTTTTGCCCATAATTTCCAACAAATCTCGGAGCGCAGATCGTGCCTCAGTGCAGCAGGAGACCACCCCGTGGGCGTTGGTGCCGCCGAAGCCAAAGGATGACAAGCCACCACCCAGTCGGCTGAGCACCTTTCAAGGAACATTTGCCGTGAGTCGGCGGGTAGCAAAGGATGTAAAAATGTCGGTGAGAGTAAGCCAGGTGTAAAGGGACTTTGCGGGGTGTAAGACCCTGTTGCATTCCTGGGTCCTACCTTTTGTTCTATTCAGCGTCATTAAAGTTCCTAACATGACACAACGGTTGAAGTTATGACTCAGTTATGACTCAAAAATAGGGTTCCATCCAAACCAGGGTCTGAAATGGCAAGTGGATAGCCACCAGGAATTTTAATATGCACCATAAACATCCAAAAGTCTCTGTATTCTTCCCGATCCAATTTGGACCAGCATCCACTTGTTGGTCAGAAACTCCACCTCAACACCCCTCAACACCAGTGCCACCTGTGACTCCCCGAAACAGTCTCCATCCGCACCTTGCTGGCCATGGGCAGCGATTCCGTGGCGAAGAGCGCCGGCAGGTCGGACAACGCGGCAATGCTGGGGTTCAGCGTGCAAAGATGGATGGACGACATGGAGGACAAGTGCCTGACAGGACGAAGATGTGGGGGAGGTTGAAGGCCATCGCATCACTATTGGGTGTCTTTTTTCTTTTCTTTATTTGTTTTTGTCTAGCCCTGTGAGTGGGAAGATGTGGGAAGTGGAGACCATGGCTACGAGCATTAGGTTGGAGGCCATCGCTAGAATGAACTGGAACAGATGGAGCACAGCATGTGAATACAAGGGTGAGAGCTGGCAGTATTGGTGTCCAACAAAGTGCCTAACAGGTGGACAGGTGTGAGGTCTGGAGATGGTGGCGCACACTGTGCAAATAGTTTTGTGCGTTGGGTGAGAATACTCGTTGATTCCCCTCAAGATTCTAGATGTTCTCTTCAGGGGGGTGGTCACTTCTCGCAGTATCCTATTTTTCCTATCCTTCTATCATCGTCAATCTAGGACGTCCGATGGTTCTCAGGCTATGGAATGGTATTGAGGCCAATGGCTCTACTGCAAGAAGATGTCCTCACATAGAAATCCCGTCCCTGGGTAAGGTTACTCTATCATTTACGAATCGTATGGGGAGTGATAATGACAGGGGCTATTGCTGCAAGCAAGTTGCTCCATCAAAGCCACCGACTTGATCAGTCCTGCTGGCTCTGTGACAGAACGTGATCAGATTGGCTTGGAACGAGTGACTTCCTCGGGCCTTCCAAACCAGAAGCAAAACGCTGATCTAAAGTGATCAAATGCCGCCCCTTCAAAAACAATGGTGTTTGGATGGGTTCGGTTTGGGATTGCAACCATGAACAAATCATGTTGGCTCTCGCTTTGTTCTTGGACTCCCGCAACATGATCCTCACTAGGGGCCCACAAACACCGTACAAAATCATTCAAGCAGTTTGCGTTGGATCCAGTTCGATTTACAGTCAAGTTTTCCAGAACCATCTGGATACCCGGATGTCTTTACTTTCTCATCTGAATGAATTAGTACAGGATCAGTATATGAGATGTCTCCGCTATCTCCAATAATGTTCGAAAGATTCCGAAAGACTGTTCTTGCTGCTTTTGGTTTTCTTTTGTGGCTAACTGATGGTGACGTTACAAGCTGGTACTCCACCCTGCTTCGAAACCAGGCAGCTTCGTCTGGTCCGGTTGTTGACACCGGTCCTGTCGAAGCGGCTGGACCCTCCAAGTGCCCACAGTTTGACTTCACCGCTGCCAAGATCAAGGGCCGGTCCTCCGTCCTGCGCAGTGGGGCTCGGTGGTACGAGCCGCTCCGTCAAAACCGGCTGGGTCCAATATGTCGGCGGATGTCTTTTTGTCCATGGCTGAGATCTGAGGTCAGTCTGAGTTGGTGATACGGATTGGAATAGGTCGGCTCGGTTCTGGGATTGAACACACACACACACACACCATGAAAAAACAAGATTGCACATTGCCCTCGCCTACAATCCACAGTAAAACGGAAAGAAGGGATCCCAACAATTGCCATGAACAATGTTTACATTTGAGTGACTATATATTCTAGATGCACAACTACAATACGCACAAAACAAACAGAACCAGGACAGATTTCAGTTTGTCATCTCCAACCCAAGAGATCCGCAGATTGAACTTACTCTCTGAAAATATGAGCAAATGGCCGTTGCTGGGACATGGATACTTACTTTATGATCATTTTTTGGGTGAATTCACTCAAGGGACCCCCTGAATGTGATCAAGCAAGGAAGGCAGTCTGCTTGGCCTGTTGGTCACACTTTTTGAACGAGATGAAGGGTCACATGACTTGAACTAGTAGCAAGGGCATTACTACTAGTAGCAAGACGCTACTAGTAACAAGGTGCATCGCTACTAGTAGCTATTGAACCTAGGAATTGACGAAGTCCCCGAACTCCGAATTCCGCTGTGACCACACACCGACCCGCTCATGTCCACATCTGAAAATCTCCTGGAAGCGTTGATAGATTTCAAGCCGCCAATTTCAATAGGATCGCCCAAAGGAGTGCCTGTGCCATGGCACTCCATGTGCACCTCGCTGGCTCGATCTGCACTTCTAGATCGACTCTACTCCCCTCAAAAGTACACAACACGATGGAAACGATGGACATTCGATTTGGAAAGCCCATTGGATTTGGACGACTGGCTTGACCTGCCCGAACCAGACCAATTCTCCAACTGGCTGACACCAATTTGAACATGGCAAGTACTACGACTCTACACGATGTGGAAAAAGCTTCCAGTCAAGTCCGCCCCACACTCAGGGGCTACACATGGCCGCATGGCTACGCCAAGTGGCCACCTCTTCAGGCGCCAACTTGGCTTCCGCCAAGGCCACCCGCATGACCGTGGCCTGTGACGGGCCATTGGGCGCCGTCAGCGTCGAGCTGCGGCCGTCCTGTCGATGGACAGTCCACCAACTGATGGCGCTCATCAGCCACTAGGCTCCAGTAACTACAGTATACAACTTCACATAGACATTGCCACTGGTAAGCTGGGAGAAGAGTTGCTTTTTGGAAGTAGTCCCAAGAGGTTTGCATCCAAACCCAACAGTTTAGTTTCAATAGCGATCCCAAAATGTTCAAAAGGCCTGAGATAAACACTCAGCATCCAAATCGTGCAACCGAGAAGGCGTGTCATCTATATATATACTTAAATCTAATGGTGTCCGACCACCCCAATATTATTCCAAGGTTCGTTCGGGTTGCATCACTCCGGGTTGCAGCTGTCGAAAACTCTACACTCATGTACCCTGCCTCGCGAATGAGTATGGTCGATGTCTCTTGGACTCTAATCCAATGGTCTTGAGTCTTGAGTGTTCCGTTTCTTTACAAGCTGTAAGATATAGGTTTTTGTTCAGAGTTCGCCAAACAACACGTTCCAACGTCTTCAAAGGGTCAAAAGCTCACAAAGTTTGGTGATTGGAGGATGAGAGCTCGTAGACACCAGAACCATCTGCCTGAATTCAGACGACCGAATCAAACAATACGTTGGTTGGGAAAATATACGAATTCACCTAGAGACCACGGCAAACCATCTCACAAGGCAAACACCACCCAGATCATCTAAAAGACACTCAAACTGGGAGGTCCAAGGAAACTCGTCAAAGGACTCTGCCTGTCCTGGTTCACAGCAACTCCGAAGAGTCCACATCGCTCCAAGGTGGCCAAGGGGGCCGCTGCCGTCTGCGCTGCCTGGTGCCGATGTTCCCTTCCAACTGGGGCGATCAACCCAAGCATTTTCGGCATGGAGGAATCAACCCAAACTCTTATGTGCCGGGTGTTTTTTCTGTGGCTTAAAGGCCCGCTTGAGCTCTTCAAACCACTTTGCTGTCTAATTAGCATCTGCTTTTCTCTGTCCGCACGCAGTCCATGGGACTCAGAGAGTTGTATTGACCTCAAAGAGTTCAGCCAAATTCAATAAACATGAGAATCCCTAGAACTCAATTAAACCGCATGGGTTGGTTGGAGGGTCTCAGTCTCCTATTGCAATTGAGACCTATCGTCAAAGTGTGTCAAAGTGTTCCTGCGCATGGCTTGCCTGCTGCGCTTCGCTCGGCAGCTGCAACACCACTGCGCCGCAGCCTTCGCCGCGCGCATAGCCATCTGCGGATGCGTCGAAGGTGAAGCAGCGCCCGGTGGCGGAGAGCATTCGAGGCTTGCTGAAGCTGATGTACCTGGCTCAAAAAGGTTGGCTGGATGTGGCTGGATGTGGCTGGTTGATTTTGCTAGTCCTAGTGGATTCTGCTGGTTGGTTCGTTGGTTGGTTGGTCGGTCGGTCGGCAGGTTGTCCGTGTGCTGGGAAGCAGATTGCTGGGTTCAGGTTGATCTCCAGTCCAGGTCTAACTAGATTGCCCCTACAACACAGTAGCACATCCCGCCCCATGAGAGCCCAACAACCCGGATCTTGAGATATCTAGTCCTACGATTCAAGGAATCCTCACACAAAGAGAGAGAGAGAGGGACCCATGGTCACTTGCAAGCAAATTTGTTGGAAGAAGAACCAGGAGCAAGGTGGAGATGCACGCTTTAGTTTAGTTTTGGGCTTTTCATACCCATATGGAAAACATCCCCCCTCCAGTGCATGGGGCACGTGGTCGGGCTCGCCATGACGTTGGCCGCAGTGTTCAATGCGCTGCTGCAACGGCCTTTGCGCAGTGCAGTGGCCGAGCAGTCCAGCGCCACCAAAGCCTCTGTTGACTGTTGACACAGGCAGGAACGGTCTCAGCCTGGTCAAATGGTTCTCAGAAATAATCAATTAAATGCGACAAGGAGTACTGCGTGTTGAACATTTGGTGCAAAGAACATGGTCTTTCATGGTCTTCGAACATGGAACCCTTCAACATCGCTTTAGCCCGTCCGCAGACCACCCTCCCAGAGTAACATGAAACTCAGTCACACCCAAGGCGCAAAGGGATGGTGATGAAACATTGGTGCGTGTATTAGTGTGTATATATTATACATATACACGTACATATATATATATTACATCGTATTACATGTTTACTGATATACTCTCATTTTTGTGAGATTTTCACAATGAATACATCCACAACCTTATAGCACATATACAGTAGGAACGATATCATCGTTTCCATTTCAAGTATATACTATATATAGTTTGCACTCAAGTGGCTGCCCCAAATAAACCAACCTCCCTTCGAGGTTCATCACAATTGGGAACCAGGAACATACATCGTTCTGTCTCACCCGGGCCCCTAGTGAGCGTTTCACCCCAAGCCCATCATGAAACGCCTCCATGCGACAGGCAGACTGTCTGCCGGAGATGACCCAACCGGGAGCCGGGAAGTGGAAAGAATCGTGCTCCATGACGCACGCAAGAAGAAAGTGTCAGTTGGGTGTTGTCTGATGCCCCTCTCTTCTTGGTAGTGTTCATTCACAAGAGGCCGCGATTCCTCTGAACCAACCAATCTCGCTTCATCGGCAAAAGATCGCTCCAGTAGAACAAATGCTTTACTTATCAACTGAAGCCGGTCAACAAGGAGCTTCTGACACCCAAAATTTGGTCCCAAATCACTTGAGTCTTCTGCAAAGGTAGTCCACTGGTTCAGTGACCCTGAGTGAAGGTCTGGATTGCTCAACAGCCCAACATGATCCAAAAAGGACTTCCATGATCCTATAGAAGAACCTACGGTTGATGGACAGTCCATGTCCATGTCCATCACTTCTTCGACGTGGGCAGTACCACGTCTTTTGGCCCGCCGAGCTTCAGATGAGCAAGCAGTGTCCACGATGTAAGAGGGGCCCTTCAGGCCCAAGGCATAGGAGATACGTCCAGCAGACACTGAGAAGGACATGCCTGGCACAAAAACATGTGAAAGAATAACTCCGCCATTGGCCATTGTATCACTCAATGAAGGAATCAGGTTCAAGAGTGCCTGAACATAGACAACAAAGCCAAGAACTTGTCATAGACATAGATCATCTTCCAAAGTCTCACCACAAATGAGTGTTCATCCAACGATACATTCAGCAATAAGAACGCCTGGATCAAAATATCTTTGCTGCAGCTGCTCATCTTTACAACGAAGCCGGGTCAATGTAAACATGATATATATATATATATGTTTATATTTTATATATATGTGTTGTTTTAAATAAAGTAATACAAACCAAATACATAAACCTGTTCGAGGGCTCCCAAAATACCTTCTGAGAAGGTGTTTGGAGTGGGTCCTCTGTGAGGAGGTGGTTGAAGTCTTATTCAGTCTTTGGTCAACAACAGGGTTTATCCTTCTGATACTACTGCCAACCGGAATCACCTTCGCCTGTGCAAGCGCAAATGGTATCACCTCACCTGTGGCGGTGTAGGGGCTGATCTTCTTGAAGTCCCAAGATTGCATCTGGATCCAATCATTGTTGGCCAAGCCCACATGCACTGACACCTGGCGGACAGCCCGCGTCTTTCCGGCGGGAAGGGTTAGGGAAGCTTGTGATCACGCCACGAACAGCCGTGAGTTGGATGGGCTTGTGTAAGTTAGATGGGTTGCAGTTTGTTTCTTCTTTACAGCCTGTACCCAAATAGGCCGCTTGAAATATGGGTGATTCGGATCCAGCATTGGAAAGCCCTCAAGGAGCGTGCGTCTGCCGCTTGCAAACTGCTTCGCGATGTATGGTCAACTCCCTTATTGGCTGGCCAGCACGAAGGCAATGATGCCGAAAACGGTTGAATGTGATTTAGAAACTTCTTCAAAGCTAATGATGGTTATACAAAACACAAAAGCATGGTTCTCTGTCTCCAAAATCCACTTCATTCACTTCTATGCTCCACGATGCCCTGAAGCACAAGCACGGCCAGCCTGTCAAGCGCCAAAACGCAAAACAGTAGCCTAATATAGCCCAAAGTACCGGGTTAGCTCTCGCGAGTGTGAGCCACCTTGGTGTGGCCCCTTCAATATGTCCAAGCTCACCAAGATCAAATGCACAAGCCTGTTTCCGACCAAGAGCACCCTCTTTCTGCTCCTAGGGTTATTCCTTTCCGACCTTCAACAAACATTCCACAAACCAATCGTGAATCCGTTGCGCCTCTTTTCCCATAAGGGATGCCTTGTCGAAGCCAGAGTCCAGCAAACCTCAACTACTTTACATCCGGAGACCGAGAGTAACTATATAAACTGTTAAACTTCTCCAAGAAACAACATGGACATGTGACACCCATCTAATAGTCATAGTCAGCCAAAAAAAAACACACTTCCACCACAATCTATTGACATGGGTTGTGGAGCTCTGACTCGACTTTCCGTTGGCCACGTGCACCCTCCACTCACCCACCGTGGATCCCTCTAAGGCAAGCACTGTTCACGGAACTCTCCAGCAAGAGCCGCTGCTGCGGATCCATCGCTCTGGCCTGTGCTCAGCATGCGGAGCGCACGCTTGCTGGCAGGGTCAGTGACCGCAAGCGAATCCGTGCTGACACCAAGTAATTACAGCATTATGGGTTCATATAGTTATGATCTAGCTTCCAAACAAACAATGACACACGACGATGACTCATGCTCCAGTCGATGCCCACGCTTTTATCCCATCCTCCCATCCTCAACTTGGCCAACGCTATCCGCACCTCAGGCGGCGAAATGCCGAAGAACTTGGCATCGAAGGCTTCCACACCCTCGATGAAGGCGCCGTGGCGTGGATACCTTGCAATTGGCAGGCTTTCGCCTGGAAGGCTTGAAGACCAAACCAAGAGATTGGAGGAAATGGCTGTGGGTCACGGCAACCCAACACAACTGTTTGATTTCCAAAATGAATCGAACGGGCTACAGGTGTTGTCAACCCATCCCATGTCACTTGAAATCCTCAAGTCTCGAACTTACTGCCTGGGTGGCCATTTCCAACATTCATTGCACTTTGTTCTAATATACTTAGAAAAAAGGTGCCCAGCAACAGCTTGTGAGGCCTTGGAAGGTACTTGTCCAATAGACAAATGTAAAAAAAGCTCTTACGAGATGTCATCCCTCAAACTGAACACACCATCTTTGATAGGCCCGCAACTGCCTAACCTCTTGGTGTGAAAGTTCTTCTGTACCACCGTAAATATGCAAACCCTTGGAAATGAGATCTGATCGGTACAGGATTTGATCGATCCACGATATCCTCAAGCCATCCAAATCAAACACCTTCAGCACCCACCGCTTCGCATGGCTTGAACAATGCGACGAATTGAAGACTGAAGACCTTGTTTGGCCGAGCAGCATCTTGCCCTGAGCGTCAGGGTTCGGGTCCCAAACCTCCTCCAACTCCCAGCGTGTGAAAGGCACCTCCACCAAGCCATCTACGCCCTGGCGAGACTGGCAAGTCCACTCCATGTTGGACTAGTCAAAGAAATTGAAAAATCGTCAGAAGTCATAACCATTTCTGGACATTCAAAGTTTTAAGCACTAAGCTCTTGGATCTTTTACAGTTCCCTTGCCGTGGTCGTTCCCTCTTTGATAGAGTCCGTCTGAGAACCAAGATATCAGAATTATTCAAACTATATTCTTAATATATTCATTAAGTCAATCGATAGGAGCAATCATTCCTTTCACAAGAGAGCAGCCTCACAATGATTGAACAGAGTAGTATCTTCCACACCTAAATCTCTGATTGTTGCTTGGTGTGTCAAAATAAGCGCTCAGGTACGGTCCTGGGTGATCGCGCACCCAAAGGCTGGTGTGGTCCAGGCGGCTGCAGGGAAGTTGGAAGCCTCGATCGTAGGAGCGGGAAACGGTCGGGACACTGGGAGACCAGCTGGGGACTTCATCAATACTTCCAGCAATACCAGTGCTGGCCCGTGAGGGCTCAAACAGCGCCTGATGTTCGTGTTTGGGTTAGGTTTATTCATGGTTAGTTTAGGGGCGACTTGTAAATACAGCCAGCGACCCTAGTGAGGTAAAGAAAGTTCTCTTTCAGGCCCCCTGAAGACAATTCTCAGTTGATCGCCTCAATGACATCAACACCACCAACACAGGATGATGCCCGCAACACCACCTGACTCCGACCCTCCCCTCTTCTTTCAACGCCCATCACCTAAAGAAAAGTGGCTCCGCCAACCTCACCCGAACCTACTTACAGGGATTTCCCGCAGGTGTGTTGGTGAGGTCTGGATGGCCATGGATGGACAGCCAAAAGTAGGGAGTGAGCTGGGTGTGTTCGGAATGGAGAAAAGGGATGCTTGCTGTGTACCCCTCATTAGCAGGATGCCTCCTCAGCTCCTCACCTTCCCCTGAAGCATCAGTGTCGTTCTTGACATACACCCAGAAGAATGATGTGAACCTCTTCATTCTGGACCATGCCTATGTCTATGACATCTATTAAACCCCTCCATCCAGCCAAGTTCTTCCAAAGGGCCATGCCCGTCACCGAGAGTTGCTGATCTAGTGCTCCGCCACCGGAGCTCATGGGGACTCCTGGGAACGGTCTGGAACGGAGAACCTAGTAGCGATGGCCTCCATCCTAGTAGCCCAACCTACTAGCGATGCCAAAGGACAAACTGCTGAAGTCACAAAGGGAGAATGGCCATCTTGCCGACAACTCCCTTCAAACCAGTCCTTGCGAAGCTACCCAATGAAGGGTCATTTAGAAATCACACGTTTGCGACAAATAGTGGCGGGGACTTGAATGCCACTCATTAAAGATTGCATAGCGAGCAAGTCTCACAAACCACAGCCAGGAAATCACCCGTGCTTCTTCTGTACCCTGGATCATTCCAATGTTGATCCCTTCAAAGATTAGGATCCTTCTCTCCCATGAATTCATCCTCTTAAGACATATTGTATCCAAATCCAGCTTGTCTCCGCTGCTCCTGCCATAGCTGATGGCATGGCCATGGTGACCGCTCCCAGCTGTTCGGCTGCATAGCCGGCCACGCTGGAGATGGTGGGGTAGTCGAAAATCAGCCTTGTTTGCGAGACCATGGAAGAGAAGCAAAACAACACCTAAGGTCATCCCGGTTCAGCCTTACATGGCTTAGTATGCTTAGGCTAGAGCCTAGGACCCTAGAAGACCTGAGTGAACATTGGGAACATCACTTTGTTGGTTGCGTTCTTTTTGCTCCTCAAGAACCTCTGATTGACCAAGTGGCGGCTATTCTTCTTGAGACAAAGCATTCCAAACACGCTTTCCCCAAATCCTTACATTTAGCAGTACTACCTCAGCTCAATTCAATTCAATCCAAACTCACCAGGCTGACTGAATCAAAAGCGCTGCGCTGGTCTCAGGCTGGAGTTTCATAGGTGTGAGTTTGTGACCCTGTTTCATCGCTTTCTCTGAATTACAAAAACTATAATTATACACGCCTCTCCAAGTGACGTGTTGGGAAGGTCCAAAGAGGGCAACTCCGTGGCCAAGCGATTCCGGAACTCCACCGCCGAAAGCGAGTCCATGCCTTGCAAAAACCGTCCCTCGTCCCAGGTTTTGGAGAAGAGCAGGTCGTGCTTTGAAAGGGTTGACACCAAATGCTATGTTCCTCTACCTTAAAATCCGATTATGAGGACGCATGTGGGGAGTTCCAACCCTTTGGCTTCCCACCTCGTCAAACTGCAAGTCTCAAAAAATCTCAAGAAACTCTTCAAGTCTTCTCAAAGCCCGGTCACGTGCACCCACGCAAGTCTACATCCCTCCTCAGTTGAAATCAAATAAGCAAATCGCTCTCCTGGCCCTCCACGAATGGCTTCGCCCCCTTTCTAATACGTTGGCTTTCCGATTAGCCCATTTCCGCCTGACTCCATCAACGGTTTCTCGTCCTCGACAGCACCTGGGCATCGTTGAGTTCCGATCCCTTCTCGGGAACCAATCCGAGCTGGCAAACAAAAAAAAAGACTGCCGGTCTCTCAGTCGTATCTGTTGAGCCGGATACAGTATTGATACTGAATCAGTTTTTACACCTTAGTTTGCTGGATTGAGTAGCGCTTACTATCAGTGCCTCAGGTGCTTGTCCACCTGTTGAACATCTGCTGTTCCAACGAGCACAATTTCTACACGTCCTATATATTATCTATAGTGTCTATTGTCTACAATGATGTTCCCTGGATCCAGTTGCTTTTCTTTCTGGCAATCAGCTTTCTCCCTCTCTCTCTCTCTCTCCCTCCCTCTATGAAACGGAAGGGACATGAAAGGAGGCGCGACAAAATGTGGTCGATGAGTTGCTTGAAACCTCGTCTACTTAGAAATAACGTAAAACACGAGACCAGGAAGACCTGGACAATTAAGACCCTCCATCAATGGGCTGAAGTTGAACTTAATCTATGGGATGGTCTGGCAGTCACCAGGTGTCGAAACCAACCAGAAGTTGGATGCAAAAAAATTAAGCTTGGAAACCGCCAGTGGTATCCGACGCAATCCTCTTCAAGAGCTGCTTGACCTCTGCAAGAGCTGCCATCCAGAAGGCAACCAAGAGCAGATTGACAAAATAGTATCTAAAACAAGAAGGAGTCATTGTTGAGAGCGCTGTGAGTTGTGTCATGTGTGAGGACCTTTCGCCTTTAAGCTATAGAAAATGAATGCTAATGATTATTCAATTCGCTGGAAGGAGCAACAATAATCACACCCAAGCAAAAAGTTGGACCTGGAGACGTGTCTTCTGTCTTCTGTGCTCTCTAAATGCGCTAAACTCCCACAATCCATCCAAACTCCTCTGCTGTGCCTCTGCTGCAGATGGCCCGGCGGCCACTGGCATGGGGGGGTATCCAGGCATTGCCGCTGCCTGGTGTCGAACCCATCGGAGCTCAAGGCTTCACGAGACTGGAGACTAGACCTTGAAGAAGGGTCCATTCCTTTCCACAAAGAGGAGAATTTCATGTATATTTGTATATATCCTTGGCACCTTGGAAGCATGTTGTGTCCTGCAAACCATCTTAAAACGATCATTGGGTTTATCGTTTGTTTGCAGTTTGTGCACTTTGCATCTCCAGAAACTAGTATTCAAGTAGAATAAACAGCAACACCAACATCTAGATTCTAGATTGAGAATAACTTTACTGTTTATGGACAAGCTCTGGCTGCAATACCCCGCTTATGGTAAGTTCCCACTCTTGCACAGTTCCCACCTCTACTTAGAACTGTACAACCACATATATATATATAAATAAGTATAGTTCAGTGTACTGCTAGCTCAGGACTCAGGAGACAACCACATAATCACTACTTCATTGCACTGAGATCCCAGCCGGTGCAGGACCCATCTGGCTCGCAGTGAAATCAGCAATTGATGAGATTGTAGGATAGTCGAAGATCAAAGTGTTTGGCAGGTTGACTCCTGCGAGCTGCGGGCGCTACATCGACAAACAAGTCAGGAATCGAGCAGACCCAAGCTAGCATCTATTCCACCAAAATACATACTACACTATAGCTTTGAGACATGTTGATAGACTCTCTTCCTCAAACACTTGTTTGTTCTCTTTGCTTAGATCATGGAATGGTTGAATACCGCCACAAGGCGTGCTGAGCATTTTGATGTTGTCCAAAGTTCCCGGAGCCCAGGCAGAAAACACTTTTCTACCAGCGAAGCCGTAAGGAGTGGTCAACAAAGGCCGAAACCACCTACAAGGTTAGCTTGAGGTTTATCTATCAGCCATATCATCTTGCAAAAGTCACCTCTTCCTGTGCAGTACTTGTGTTTTGAAGAACCAAAAAGTCTGCAGCCATCCACAAGTCAACATGCCCACTGCAGCTGTTGTTTTCCCATGTTTTGACTATCTCAAGCAGAATCTCTCTCCTGGCATCTTTCCAGTGAAGCGATTTCGGAACTCCACCGCAGACAAAGAGTCCATACCTGGTGCAATCTGCCGGGCCCAGGGCCCTTAGATGGCTGAAGCTCGTTACTTTGAAGAGGAGAAAGCAAATCCTTCGGCTTGGAACAAGCAAGTGACATATCCCCAGTGCTTGACCAGCTGACTGTTGCATATAAACCTCAACAAACCAATTCAACAACCGCAGAATGCTGACACCTCCAACACCCGTTCCCACACGACAAGGTTATCAAACACTGGAAACTCAGGGAACCACAGTATGAGTCTGAGCGCTTTCTACATCTTACTATATATACGCGCGCCGCCACAAATAATTGACCCAGCCACCATATGGCTTTGTCTGAAAAGAGGGAATCCTGACAAGCTGACTATGTTTCACCTAAAACACATCCTGCCCGGGCGCCTGAGTCCATCAAGGGAGTCTCGGAGTCGATGGCACCGCCACCTGCCACCTCGGAGGCGATCTGCTGCAGCATCTGCTTCAGCGATGCCTGCGTGGAAGGTGCTTCAGCCCAGGGAGTGGAGTCCCTGGCCATAAACTTGGATGACTCATGGATTGATGATGGATGGACGCATTCGTTGATTGGTTAAGCAAATTCTTGATAATATCGACCAGTTGATTAAACCCTTCTACTCAGCAGCCTGGCACCACTTCTGTTTTCCACTAATGATACATTGAAATGCAAGTCTGCTGAATTTCAACCACCCCAACCACACAACCCGGCCTTGTCCACCTGCGGCACCGGTGCCGCACCCATAGCAGCGCCCATGGCGCCCATAGCTGGTGCGGCTTTGGCCTTAGGCTTGACTGTCTTCACCTGCAACGGGGTGCTGGTGAATGCGGTCGGGGAGGTCCCTCAAACCACCTTGGTTTTTAGTTCCCCAAGGTCTTCTGCCAAAGTCAATCAGCAAGCACAACAGTAAGCTGGGTGTGAATTGTCGATGTGGAGGCTCTTACTTGGTAAATTGTGATTTGAAAAACAGAGCATAAAACTTCCCGCAAGAATGGTCTACAATGTGTATGCAAATCATGAAACGGTGCTTACGTGTCTGTGCTCCTTGAAACCAACAAACGTAATGTTTTGAACTTGCAAAGAAACAAGTTATCCATCATTATTGTCAGTCGGTTTGTTCCAAGTCTTGTTGCATAGGGTGTCTACCACATGCTACCCCCAAACAAAACTCCGCTCTGAAACCCAGGAAGCTACAAGCGATCCCGCCGATTGGCCTCGCTGGCGAAGCGCGAGAGGAAGGGTGGAATCTTCGGGTATTGCTTGAGGTACCTGTGCATGAGCCAAAATCAGTGGGTGACTAAATGGCACATGATGGCACCTGATTCTTGAGCCACAGCCCATTTCAGGAAAAAGCATGAAAAAGCAGATGGACTCTGAATACTGTATCTCTGAATAGAGACCCTCGAAGACACTCCTCTTCAGACTTCAGACCAATCCTTTTGGAGTCTGAGTCTATTTGGTCTGCAAAGGTGTAGAGTGGGTACAAAGAACACAAGTGAGAAAAAATCATGTCAAGGGTTGAAAGCGTAGTAGCCAAAAGCTGGTAGAAAAAAATGTCAATAGATCATGACCAAACTGGAGGTTTCTACTCGAGATAGCTCACAAATACCAAGCTCAGTGGACCAGCGGACACTGTTCCAACTGAGCTGAGGAAAAGCCCCAAATAGCGGAGTGTCCTTCTACCCATCATCAGTGGGCGCACACGGCCCAGCGCATTGGCTGTGCCACCAAGGTAGTGCTTGGAGAAGGCTTGAGGCAGCCTGCGAGCCTTGGCCAATCGCTTTCAGTATGCGGGTAACAACCAGATCCATTCATTTGTTGACCGCTCAAAGAGCTTAGAATCCAGGAAACGCATGGAACGGTGACACGCGACCAATCACGGAGATCCTGCTTTGTTGACAGCTCCGTGACAAACTAGTTGGACTCTGAGTTGTCCCGATTCCTGGACCACGATTTAGAGTTCACAAATCGTTGATCTATGTTGATCTATATATATATTATATATTATACATTGGTAAACAATCATATCGCAAACTTAAACCCTCTGCACATCTGCTTTCTTTGGGGAACAATAAGATATGTTCCAGTGCATTGCACCACCAAGAGACGCCGCCATGCCGAAGGCGTTGCTCAAAGCGCCTACACCACTGGCACGCAACCGTTCCACTGTACCCTTCTGGGCCGCCATGCCAACCTGACTGAGCCAAGCGGAGTTCTACATACGCTTTGCACTTGAACTCCAATCCACCATGCAGGCGAACCAAATGTCCATTGTCTCTAAGAGATTTGGATGTGCATCAACACTTAGAATCCCAAACTACTGTAGAATATATCTGGTCTTATGTACTATTTTGATCAAAACTTCGGGGGTCAACCAGGGATGTCGGGGTGCTACGACCCATAGCCATTTTGGTTCATTTGTGTTGTGTTTTCCCTCAGGCACAATCAAACTAAAGGTTCGGCTCTTGGGTAGTTTTGGAAGCTCCTGGCAAATGTCTATGTTATGTGTGTGTATCTTTGCTGAATATGCCAGCATGATGTGCTAAACAAACAGCTGAGCAAAGGCGATAAGCTTTTCTCCAAACTCGATGAACGAAACATAACGAAACCCGTGTCTTGCATGTTCAAAACCCTGTTACAGTATGGCTGTAGGTCCAAAAGCCCATAGCGCGCCTCCCTGTCACTTTCACGGAAGAGTGACTGCAACTGGAATTCTGGGTCGAACATCTTTGGGAATTCAATTTTGATGCTGATTTTCTTCATAAAAGCGCGCCTCTCGCCAGGGTCCCCATTGGACGGAGATGACGTTCTCCTGTTGTTCACGGGAACGACCAACTTTCAGGCGTGTCGTCAGTTCAAACGTGGTGAGATCAATCTGCTGAAAACCTTGGCGGAAGTCAGTTTCAGGCCTCGTCATGCCTCCAAACACTTCCAAACACGGCTGGGAAGAACCTCTGAAAAGTCTTAACACCAGCTCCAGCCATGTAGTAACAAGAAGCTACTAGAAACAAGTGCCACGCTAGTAGTAACAGGTACCTTACTAGTAGTAACAAGGTAACAAGAAGCCATAGTCCTGAAACACCATGTCCCCAATGGAACTCGCTGGTCTCGGACCCTCCTGCATCACTTGCTTCCAATAGCGCGCGTGACCATCCAGAGCGGCATTCGCCGCAGAGTAGTTGCCCTGCCCTGGAGATCCTGGTGGAGTTGGAGCTCCGGGGCAGACTCAGACTCATTAGCTGTTGAAGACCCTGCCTTTGAAGAACTGCCCCAAAGAAGGGATTCTTCACCCATCAATCATCATTTCAGCAGCACTCATCACCGGTCGACTGACTCCACTAAACCATCCGACCCTAAAGCCAAGAGCCCCGAAAAGAAATGTGGGGCAGCGGGCAGTAAGAAATCAAAACAAGTTGCTATAAATTAGGAAGACCTACGAAGATTGTGCCCCATTGGTTGGGGCATCTTCTAAACCCAATCATATGGAATGAGTCTCCTCTGTTCACTCCATTTCACTCCCTTCGACTCCTTTGGCCGTCTCTTTCCCCAATGTCCTAGTAAGGCCGAGGTCGATGAGAAGAGCAATGCAAAGTCCCAAGGCTTCTCGCTATCCGAGAGGCCGCACCGCAAGTGCCGTGCACCCCAAACCTGCGGTCAGTTCCCGTCAGTGCGAGTCGACCCGTCAAGCAAGTCACTGCGATGGGTTCGTGGGACTGCAAGTAAGTAGAAGAGCGCATCCATTTAGCAGGACGGAAAGCTTGGCATGAGCAATTCAGCAGCCCAATTTCCGAAGGCTGACAAATTATGGGTCCAAGCTCAAGGGGCACACGACTGGTCCTTTTCAACTTTGTTTAACATCGTCTTGAGAGGTCATGGAAGAAACCCTATAATGCCTGAAACTCCAAACCGCTCCAAAGCTAATGCTTTCCCGCTTCAGTGCGGTAATTACATAGACTCTCCCACTACTCAACCATGCAGTCTGTCTGATGTGTTTGCGACTTTTTGTAAATCCTGACAAAGCCGCGGTCAATACCGCGCCTTGGCGCCATAGGAGCGCTCCAGGTGGCCACGGGTGAGCTTTGGCATTGTGGCATCATCTAGGACGGCCGCCAGGTGGACCAGCCCTGGACCGAGCAAGCAATGGGAGTCCGACAGGAATCAGGAGAGCCCCACGGTCTGTCTTCTGGGTGTTGATGCAACCAGGCGGAAGGAGGTTGGAGGCTTTCGGGGGCAATCTAACTGTTCATTGTGAGCACAAGAGTTTTCTGTTGGTTCCTACAGCCTTCAAAGGACCACCCCCCCAACGCCGCCGCGCCTCCGACACGTGGTAGGCCCTTCAACTGCAAGGCCAACTGGTTCACTGCATCCATGGAGGCGATGTCACAGCTTCTCGCAGAGATCTCCAAGCTCGAGGCCTGGAAGGACCCAAAGTCATTCCGAGCCAATGTTGCTGGTCCATATGATATGAGTATATTTTAAACAAAACAGTTCTAAACATATGTCCATCAGCATGATACTGAATATTCCAGTCAATAGTGAAGATATTTGAAGGAAAAGAACAGGGCCCCCAAATAGTGGTGATTGGAGTGTTACTGACAGGGTACTCTGACGGTTCTGCACTTAACTCAAAGATTTCAGGGCACACTCCCGCCCCCCTCAATACGGGGCCATCATTCCACACAGGGCGATTCGTTCCGTCAACCTTTATGTCAATAAATGTTTGTTTTTGGTGCAACATAGCACAGCAAAGGCAAAACATGTTGCAGATTCAATTAATTGGTCGAAATACGAGACCCCCAACATGGGGGGGAGCTTTGCAAAATGAATCCGCCCGGACTAATTGTCAAGACATGTACACAGGACAGGCATGACTGACATAGATAGCGTAAGGTACTTGTGATGATCATCCGCGACGCATTGGATTCGGTACCTGAATTAATTTTCAGCCTTCCTCCACATTCCTCCAGCTTCCTGGATTAATGTGTTGCCATAAATTAAGTCACCCCCGTGGGCCACCCCTTGGATTAATTTCAGCCATATGTGTGCAGGTTTAGTTTGCAAATTCATTAAACATCATCCAGTGCGCAGGGTAGCTGCACCCGAGGGCACCGGGCAAGACAAGCCGGAAGAGGAAAGCATTTTAGGCCTGACAAATATAGTAAGTCACACCTGTGTAATCCGGAAACAGCTGTATAGTACTATTCACTTAGTGTGATCCGGTGATCCTCACAGGCTTCGTGCCTGCAGCTTCTCCCAAAGGTCAACGATGTCCGCAGAAGGCTTTCCGCTGCGAGAGAGGAGCGACATGGATTTTGCACCCTCCTGTGACAGCGAGGGTGGCTGTCTGAAAATGACACTCTAGTTTGGTCTACCTTCTGCATTGCCTTGCAAGTGAAAGTGGCACGGGCCCAAACCCACCGGCAAATGGAAACATTCTTAGAATCTCTATGCTTGACCCTGGTCCAAGTACCCATTTCCCCTACGTACTTTCCTCTACCCATCTACCCAGAACAAACAGATCACACCGCCTGACACCTGATCTATCCAATCACTTCCCAAATAACCATGATCATGAAGTCCTCGAGAAGGTATTGCGCTGTAACCATGCCAAGTGCTCCCATGCCACCGGAGAGCACATAGTGTGCATCTGCCTTGAGATCCATGGTGCTTGGTTGACCTGAAGGTGGCTTTCTGCACATCTCTGCCCAATCGAGAGGAGCAGTCCGACACTGCACCAAAGCCAGAAACACCAACTGACCATGGGGGGTTTGAAGCGCGTCCGACGGCAAAACATGACAAAACTGTTGGCTTGCTCAAAGAAACCTCTGAAGGCACTCTTACTAACATTGCTCAGAACTTGGTCATTTTAGAGGTATCGGTATATCGGTATATCCGATATCCGTTGAAATGTCCACCGGGAATCATTCACCTCTGTAACCATTTTGCCTCTGGGACTCCTTGGACACGTTGCTTCATTTATTATTAGTGCTATTCATTGCACTTTGCTAAGACAAATTCGGTACACGTCCCCCACAAACGGCCTTGGACGTGAAAACCCCAATGCGGAATCCGTCTCGAGCATAATCTGACAGCAACGAGCCGCTGATGACCACCTTTCCAATGTTCTTGGCACGCTGAAGGAACTGCATTGCATTAACACCTTGGACAGAGTTGGTTCACAAACTGTGCATAATTAGCACCCCTCAGCAAAGTGCTGCTTTGGTGGGTGGTACTGAGGCGTACCGAGGTTCACTGCCCCGAGTTTCCAAGAAACACCAGGAAAACACCAAGTGAACATGAAAACAGGGCTCTTCTGGGAATCTGGGGGTCTAAGTGTGGCAACTTGACGAGGAGTCTCGTCTGTCTTTCTGTCTTTGGCGGAGCATTCCAGAAGGCCTTTCGGTCTTTTGAAGGGGGGCTGCCCAAGAGTGCTTATCTGCCAATGCCAAAACCACCGTTTAGAACCTAACCACTTCGGTCTTTCTTGTGTTTTCGTTGAAACAACTTGAGAGATCTGGAGAGCTTTGTTAATATCCTCGCTCCACCAAATCAGTGGATGTTGGTAGAAATTGGATTGCCCAACATTTTGTGCGAGGAGCCATTGTCGATGCCCTCAAAGATGTGCATGTTGATCGGTGACAAGCCACCTGTCCAAAACACAACTGGCCCAAAGCTGGTTCACCTGAAGTTTAAGGCCCTGTATATAGGTTGTTGCCGTTGCGATCCACAAATCTACTTGTGATTGGGGGGGGACGGCAGCAATCTGAATGGATTCATGGAGGCTGTGACACGCTCTGACACCTGCGGGGTAGGAAACACTAGCTCCCAGCCTGCTTAGTTGTGTTGCATACAAAAGTTACCAACGTGCATTTCTACACTGGAGTGTTGGACACACCATCTTGAAACGTCAAAACGGATCCATGTTGGTGCCACCATGGTTGTGCATAAAGGAACCAACAACTGCCTAACAAAACAGTGATAACACATATGCCGTGTGATGCAACATCATGATGCAGTCAGTGCTGAAGCCAGGAAATCCCCTAAAACTGTAAGTATGTTGGGCATTTGAGACTAGAGTCGTCCAACGCACTTGTCACAACACACTATATGGATCAACTTCGACAACTTGCAATGCACCTACGTTGGGCTCAACGCATCCCAAGCGAGCAAATGATTTATCGGATCTATGATCTATTAGTCAAAAGGCCAAGGTCTATGTTGCTGAAGTCATTCGTTTGCTCGCACAACCACATGACTGTAGGCAACACTTGGAGCTACTTAAAGCACATAAATATGGCATCTCACACCGTTGAGGATCAGGGCAATGAAGCCTTCGTTTGCCGCTCGCGCCTTCCTCCACACGTGTGACCAAACGTTTCATGTAGGCGTTGTAGCGCCAAGGCTCCAAGTCCTCAGTGGGGAAAGGAACTTCCTGGATGCCTCCAGGCGCAGCCCAGCTTCAAAAGTGAGCTTGGGGAGAGTGAAGTGTGTGTAGTCACCAAAACAATGCAATTATTGACATACTAATACTAGTCGAAACATGTCGAAACATAATATCGATATTTAGCATATAATCACAGAACATCTTGTGGTCTTCGCCCCTGCAATGATTGCCGGATGTCACCGGTCACCCCTTGACTCGGCGAAACCAAACCCAGGTTGGTAGTAAATGACGACCCACTAGTTGGGTACGCTCAAAGTACAGTAATTACTTGGTCGCTTGACAGCGAAATGTTCATGTATTCAATCTCAGGGCAAGATAAGAGAGTTTGTGTAGATCTCGGTGGTGGCACAGTGTCTGCTCGTAATCCTTCCAAGAATCCATCATGGTGTCTGCTGCAATCTTCTCATACATCACATCAGGCCGGGCTTCAAACATCTGCTCGTGGCTCCAAATTCCTGGCAGAACGATTGGGACCATGGCCTCATGAGAGTTTCACCACCTCTATATAGAAACGAATCATGTTCAGCATCACCTTTTTCCATAGATGTTGTTTCTCATAGTTTTGTGTGTATATATGATCAAACTATATCATATCATATATCATTGTGACATACGATAGTTTCAGGGTAGTTGTATGGACAGTTAAATATGACTGGACAATGTCTTCTACAAACCTCTTGCACTTGATCTGCTCATTCAACTGCAACTCGTTCAACCTGCAGCCCGCTTCCAAAAAGAACCTATGAACCACCCTAGCAGTGAAGATCTGCAGTCCGTCAAAGGTTCGCACGCAGTTGCAAAAGGCTAAAATTCAATCAATGGACTCGCAAAACACCACACCTTACGCATGTCTGAGTTCCTAGAGGTGAAAAGCGTTTTTTTAGAATGGTCAACTGGTCAACTCTTTCCTGCAACAAATTGTCCCCACTGAGCCAGTCCACCAACCCTTCACACACAGAACATATCCGACCTCTCTTGCCAATCTCCATGAAGCGACCCCCAGGCTTCAGCATTGCCAAGGACCGGCCAATGTAATCGTCGTGGCCTCAGCGTGGCAAAAGCGCAGTCGGTGGGAACTTGGCAGAACAAGGTCCATTGGAGTTCCATAGCAGCTACTAGTTATATAGCTACTCGTAGCGTCCCTGCTACTAGTAGTAATGCCCTTGCTACTAGTAGCGTCCTTGCTACTATGGAAGAGATACGGCCCCTATAATCAGCGAGTATCTGCACCTGCGGTTTATGGCAGGAGGAGGAACCCCCATCACTTTTTGGGAACAGGATTCATGAATCTGCCAAACCAAAACAGAAACGTTACCGTTGCATGTTCAGGAGGTTTCTGCCCCATGCTCCAGGCTCATTGTGTCCCCGCTGTTCTCCACTTTGGTGCTTCCCGAGCTCATCTATTGAAAACAAACTGGATCAAGGGGATGCAATACAAACATCTTGCCTGAGCTTAAGCTGGGGGTCTCATTGAGGCTATGTCAATGGTCTATTTTGCCCATCTTTGCTGCACCCGTTCATCCATGCCACTCAAGCTGTTGAGCACAACATCCAAACCATCAGAATCTTTCAGGAAGTTCTTCATGTCCTGGCGATGACAGTTCTGGGTAGCACACGGAAGTTCTTCCGGTGAACATCAACGCCGGCTTTCTTAGATTAGATGTTCATCTCCCCCAACATCAAGACTTGTGTGTAAGAAATTGCCGTCCAGGGAACCACCTGGAGATTGCATGTTTATGGTCTGAGTCCTTGGAACCATTGGTTACCTCGTAGTATAGTGGTACGTAGCCTGATCCACTGAGCTGGCTATGTCTACGTGCGAATGGACAATTGCTTTGTTTGCACAGAATGTCACAGAACCACCAAGCAGTCCCGTGATTGTCCATTCCTAGGCCAAGCGGCACGGACAAAGATTCAACACCAGGGTGTTCGCGACATCCCGAAACAAAGAACCCCTCACCCAGGCAAGTCAGGTTTCAGTCACCAACTTTGTTTTGTTAACTACTGTAATGATACTGTAAGAGTTCCTGTACTTTGCTCTTTGCAGTGAAAGTACATTTTTAATGATAGTCTTTCTGGGGCGAAAGTGCATGCTCAGGAGGCACGTGAATTTCACGATCGGTGTCGTGGGATACTGTGCCTCCTCAAACTTGGCGCCATTGCGGCTGCTGGTGATGTACTTCACACCTTTCAATTCGCTTGCGGGAGCAGTGGCAGTGGGACACTTACTGGGTAGTGTAAACTCCCTCTAACATCCGCAGTATGTGAAGGTCTCAAGTGGGATGGCCCACTTTGGTTTCCGAACGGCTTGTGCTCGAGGGACTCGAAGGACACATAATTATTATCTGCTGCTAATATGTATGCTGTAGTCAGGCATGCATTCATGTGATAGGTGTTTGGCTGTCGTATATGTTTGTTGCTTTTTTCTTATTCTGAGCCATGTTTCATTGCTTCACCTGATTCAGACATTTCCGTATTTCCAATGACCCACCCTCAAGTATCTGTCCGTAAACCTCTACATCCCACAATGGAATTCCGATGAAGGGCTTCGCAGGCTTCCAGGCACCAATTAATTTGGTTAATTTCAATCATTGGCAACCAAAAGTTGTCCGCCGAGGGCCGATGGCTCTGGCAGCCAAGTGACCCATGGAACGCAAAAACTCGTGCTTCTCCTCGGCGCCTGCAGTGGCATAGACCTGCAGGTCCACTGGCAAGTTTGGAAGCTAGAGAGATCTTTCCGCGGATCAGGTTTGATCATTCACACGATGTCAATTTGTTAGTGCCAGAAACAATTAAAGATAACAACAACAAGAAACTGGGAGATTCTTGGCTAACTGTGAGCCCAGCTGGCACATTTTGAACCATATCAGATGTATATATGATAATATATGTTTGTTTGCACACGAAAAGGTACTCCAGTTTTGCCCTTCATCCTTCGTGGAGCCATGCACGAAGTCTGAAGTCTGTGGATGCCTCCGCACCGACGTGGAAGGCGTATTGGATGGCCACCAGGCCCACGCCACCAGCGGCCGCGTGCACGAGGACCTTCTCGCCACGTTTCAGTTGCGCTAGGTCACCCAGGGCCTAGCGATGCCAGGGCTGAAAAATAATGTGGAGGAAGTATTTGTGATGCGGGTGCTGGCACATGGTAGTTTTGGTGCAGGTGGGTGGTGCTGGTGCTTTTTCCAGGTGGAGCACGTTGGAACCCGGTCACTGAAGAGTGGAGGCTTAAAGACCAGTGTCCAGGGTTGTTGTCAACTGGCACCTCCTTGACAGATGAACCAACTTCGTTGCTTTGAGATGCAAGGGAGACAGGCTACATATATGTATAATATACAATTATTCAAAGAACAGCATACATATACAGCAATGATATGCTAGCGTCTTTCAGCCACCACCATCAAGAATATCCTGTTTGATACAAGCACTGAAGCCAGGGTGATTCAGAAATTGATTTACTTCTAACTGCTGTAGGGTTCTTCAGTGCCAGCTGCCATGAAGGGTCTCTCTAACACAGGGTCAGCACACAAAGCACATGCGCAAAAAGCAAGTTGCATGCACGAGCAAGTGCAGGATGGCCACAAGGGAGCCCATTTGGAAGGGTCAGGGAATCGGGAATGGGCCAAACATATCTATATAATATATATATATATACTGTACTGCCTTCTGCAGTGGAGAACATGGACAGGATGGCTCGCCTCTTCCACCGTAACAAAGATCACTGGCATACAACAGGCCTGGCGAGGATCGGATGTATCGATCTCCACAGTGAAGGAGATACATCGATCGACACCCATATCACATTCCCAGTACTTTCCCAACTTTGTTTTTGGGTGTCAATCTTTTGCTAAGCAAATGTAAATCTAGGCGGTCTGCTCTCCTCCCTTCCAGGATGCCAAGTATTTTTCACAGAATCAAAGTGCTTTGAGAGGAGAAACCTGCAAAGTTCAACAACTTCCTAGTCGAGTCTCCGCTCCTCACTCAGCGACAAAGGGTCCAAGTAAATCTTCACTGTGGCTGATGTTTTGACTGCGCACTTTTCAGCACCTCCTCGAAGGACCAGGAGTCCGGCTTAGGCGACAAAAGCGCCGCTGGGCCGCAGTTGTAGCGCCGCAGGCAGCCCGGAGACTCACCAAAGACGTCCTCTCCCGGTCCTGAGAATCAATCAGGAGAGCGGACTTGGCTGATACAGTACTGTGCCAGCTGCCATTGGTGGCAAAGATTCAACATCAATGATCGTTAGTGACAGTTACAGTATATACATCTTAATTTTGGAGGTTTTGCGAACATAAAGACGTTCGACTAGTGGTTCCATGTGAATGTGGATGTAGGTCTGTAAAGTTCTGTAAATGCGTGTTTGGAACTGATCCCGCCAATATATACAGGTATATGCAGTTGGTAAAATGACCCCAGGAGGTCCAGTTGCCACTTGCTTCTAGGTGACCACTTATTCAAAGACTTATAGAACCGTAGCAAAAAAAACTTCTTGGATCTTCTTGGGTGCATTCACCTCGTCAAAAGCCGGGCTGCAGTACTTTTCCGGTTTTTTGGTGCCCAGGCCAACACAAGCAAAAGCAACTCACAATGAGAAACAAACACATATCTGCATTGAGATACCAAAGCTCTCAAAAGTGCTCCCGCTATGGTCAAACACAAGGCACCAACAATATACAGTATGGGAAAGTTGAAAAGCCAAGACTACCAGCGACTACTATGCACAGCCAAGAAGTGCAAGCCTCAAAAGACACATAGAACACATAGACATGGACAAGTGCGGGATCCCAATTTGACCAACATTGCTTCAATCTAGCTGGGGGATCGCAATACCCACAGGTCAAGCAGCAAATTGCACTGGCTCTGGTCTCAACTACTAGCTTCTTGCTCCTAGTAGTACGGCCAGGAGCCCCTAGTAGCGTTCTTGCTCCTAGTAGCGATGCCAGGAGCCCCTAGTAGCTTCTTTTGCTTCAAAGTACACAATCGGACCCTTTCACCACACATCGGCCAAGCGGCGGATGTGGGTGATCTCTGTGCCAGTGGACAGCACAGTGCCTGCGTTGGGAGCCGCTGCTCCACCGACCAGACCCGGCTGCCCAGGGGCGGTTGTGGCGGACCATCGAGCCAACAGGTCGGCTGGGACGATGGAAGAACGTGAAAACAATGAGAAGCATTGCAAAAGCCAATGATCAAACAAAGAAGGCAAAAAAAAGGACCAACAAATGCAGGAACATGATAAACATGAAAGAGGTAAAAGCAAATAGTTTATAATAAGGAAAACAAAGGAGAGGAAAAAGTGAGCACCAGGATTCCAGGAGTTTCAATTGTGTGTTTTTGTACCCTAAGTGAGTGGATAATGGGCACACCTACCCTCTAACAGCCGTCCCTGCCGAACTCCTGGCAAGGTTGTTTCGGTGCGTCACTCGTTGACACATATTGAAATGACCAACTGAAGATCTTGAGATCGCAGTAACCAGCACAAACAACGCACCGGCACTTTCATCAGGAACTTCTGGGGGCCGGCTTTGGATAGCAACTCTATGAAACAAAGCCTGCCATATGCCTGCTTTTTGCTTTCTCTCTCTCTCTCTCTCTTTCCGTGTCTTGTCTGACTGTTCATCAATTTCGAGGTCTATCTTCATTTCTGTACCTGTGGTCTCTTATGATTTGGCTACCCTCTCTCGGTGCCTGCACTGTCAGCTCCTGGAGGCCCAGGGTCTCCCGGATAGAGACCTCAGCGACCAGTGCAACTCAGGCGAGTCCATGAGTATGGAATCGGTCAGACCAAGCACTATAGCCGCAAAAGCTGCTAAGGGTATGAGAACTGTGGCAAACGCTAATCCATTGAGGAAACACATTCCAGTTCCGAATGTGCAAGCTACCACTTAACCTACAGTAGTTCTCTCGACATTGTCTCACAGTTTATCAAAATCGGAACTTGTAACTTGTCCATGTTCGTCCATGTTCATCTATGACCATGCGATGCTACCACATCCGAGACCTTGCGCGGCTGTTGATACCTTCTACAATGCTACAATATTCTATGTACAAGTACAAGCACTCTTGGGGAGGGTTTGACTTCATTTGGGAGCATCCACGGTTGGTTCATGCTGATATTCTCCAGGCTCTCCGGTTTCTGCCACCACTCCCTTGACCCATCTTGACCCGCAATTCTCTCATCTGAGCAGCCCATGACGTTCAGCACATCTCGGAAGTTCAGCCCCACCGCACGCACACGGATCTCCGCTTCGCTGGCCTTTGGAGCTTGCCGGGACTCTTGCAGGACCGGCCTGGCAGGACGGGTGAACAGTGGGCCTGCTAAAACCCCCCCCTGGAAGCCATGAATGACATCTGTTTTGATAGAACAGGCTCATATTTTGCGAAGAATTGTCAAATGAGTGCCTTGTGCACAAATCAACTTGGTGTGGTTATCCTGCCATGGACGCATGATAGATTATGATCAGTTGCAGCATTCATAATTTGCTTGTCAGTTTCTGCTGCCAGTCACACCGAAGCCGGCCTCAAGTTGGAAAGGCTTCCACCTTGGCAATGCGACGAAAGGGCATGATCCTAAGGCCTAATATTGTGGTTGACCTCGTATTGAAAACTGCAACTGGTTGGTCCTTATGGGGAAGGCAAAGAAACATGCAGGACCTCTGGTAGAAATCCCGATATAAGTAGAAACTGATTGTCTGGCATTGTTTGTCTTGTGAAAAACAAAAAACATAATCGGTAGTAATGTAGTTCATTGTAATTCATCCCTTACATCTACTGGGCAAACCACTAAGACTTGACAAAAAAGTCTTGCTTGACCCTCGTGGGAAAACATATTTCATCCCCTAGAAGAAACACCTTAAAGGGCAGAGTTTGAAACAGTTAAACCACAAGTAAATTCATTGTCGGTCCATAGGGCATCTCACTACCTGTTCTGTCTCCAATTCACTTTGGCTTTCAGTGAAGACTTTAACACATGCTTTAGTTGTTTTTATGTTGTTTTGATACTCGACTCTCTTGATCACAAATGCCTTACCTGGTATTCAATTTGGCACTAATTCAAGAAGCAGCCCGAGAAACAAAAACGAAAAGTTACTTGGTGTCTATTGGCCGAAATGTTGCAAGGCCTGTCATCTGAAGAAGCAGTCCCGGGTTCATTTTCCCAATGCCGGTGCTTTCCTCAATAGATACAGAAACCATGCAATCACTTTTTGAAAATGCTTTTTAAGTGTTTGTGGAGCACAAAAAACAATTAAAACAGGAGTTAATTCTTCGAGAAAATACAGTTAACATTGCAATTGCAAAAGGGTTATGTAATTCTTGGCTAAGATGTGGGGCGTCCAACTCCCGTCTCGGAACAATTCAATCGAATGTATTCCAAAGTTAAATTCTGTCAAATTCACGCTTTCACTGCCTACCGGAAGACCACGGCGGTTGACTAAAACCAGTTCATCCTCGTATTTCATTGCACCCCCCCCATATTAACCTCGAGTGGTCTGGATTCGTCGGGGTTCTGCTGGGTTATACAATTATATATACAACTACTCAAGTCCCTTATATAGATGTCCCCTTTCGTATTATAGTCGTAATATAATATATATATATACACAGTATACACATCACAAATCTGTTAGCCGCGCCAAGCCACGGGAGGACATCAGCAGCTCCCCAGCCTTCAGCGGCAGCGCCTTCTCCGCTCGTGTGAGTCTTGAGACCGTCGAGGCCTCCTGGGCAATGGCCACTTCTGTCTCAGCCTGCGTACAAACGTCAACGAGCGAGTAGTTGGAGGTGAAGATGGTGAAGAGACTCTTAAAATCATAAGGAGGAGAGGTATGGAATATCCAAGGGGGGGAAGCCTTGGTGGACATGGTCTGAGTTAGAAATTAGTCCACGCAGTGTGTTTGCGGATCTGAGCATACGAGGGTCAAACATGCATTGGACTCCAACAAAATTAATAGTCCAACATTACTCAGTCTCAAAAGGCCAGACACTCCTCATTCCTCATGCAATGCAAAAGAAAATTAGAAAAACACACGCACATTTCGACCACTTGCGGCCATGGGTCTAGGAGATCTACCTGTTAGAATAGACACCCACATTGGACCCTGGGAGAGGCCTTCGCACTAACAAACGTTCTTTAGCGCCATGCCTCGCTCTTCTGCAGCTGCGTGAGCCAATGCTTCAGCCTCTGTGATCATGTGTGATCTGCCGGTGAGTGGGTGCATCTGCTTGGTTGTTGGGAATATTAAAATTTGAAATGAACAATAAAAATCCATATGCTCCGGTGAGGGATTTAGTCATTTAAGGGGACACGACGGTGTCGCTTTCAAAGAGAGGTGGGCACTCCTGTGGTCGCGCAGCCCATCGTGGCCAGGCGGCTGTGTGGCCAAAGTCGCTGGAGAACTCGCTGAGTCGTCCAAGTCCAAACACCTCCAAGAAGCTACTAGTAGCAAAGGGCATCGCTACTAGGAGCAAGGACGCTACTAGGAGCTCCTGGCCTTACTACTAGGAGCAAGAACGCTACTAGGGGCTCCTGGCATCGCTACTAGGAACAAGAAGCTACTTTGAACAGAAGCTACTCCAAACCCGGTGAGAGCCGAGGTGAGCCGAGGGGAGATTTGGTGAGCTGAGGTTTCACAGCAAAGGGCCAGGTAGGGTGAAGAGATGAGTATATGGTGGTTACTGTATATATATTGTATTTTAATAGCTATTGAATGATATTGATATTATATAGTACTGTTATATACAGTAGTCATATTTTATCTTTGGGGCAACTGAGTCAGCATGTGGCTTCGACGACAATCCTGGCCCATACCAGCAATGAAGCTGCCTCAGTTGCACGTTGCGCTCCTCCATCCGGAAGGTGCGCGCCAACCCCCAAAGCCCGCCGTGCACGTAGCTTTGAGTGACCTGGTCCTCACGCTGTGGCCAAATGCCTTCTTGCCGCGCTGAACTTTACTCTCCCTGATTTTTTTGCCAAACGCTTAGCTCAGCGTGTCGTCCCACCCACAATCCATAAGTACGAAACATATCCTCTCCAACCTGGATCAGTTACACCTATATAGCTCAGCTTGCTCGTTCCTCCAACATCAACGCACTTAAGGATGCATTCAATTGCCCAGTTGCCAGTCTTTCTGCGGAAGCTTTCTGATGACTTTGGACTTAGATATACAGTATTAGTTCGTTAATCATCCAAGTTGTCAAGCTGTCTGTGAGGATTCCTACAACACATGCCTGTTCCGACAGCTGGTGACGTGAATAACTAGACTTGCATCCACCAGTGCCATTTTGCGTGGTCACCACTGAGACAAAAGTCCCGCAAGTCCTTAACACTTCATCGCAGCATCGGAGGTCATAAGAATCCCGAAAAAACCTGCACCAGTCCACAGTTGTCTCTCCGGTCCACGCAGTGCCCCGCACATTGCACTCCTGTGTGCCCTTGGTGACCCACCAAATGGGTGGCACGCTTTGTCGTGCAGAAGCCATCTCCATGGCCACTTGCGCCACGAACAAGGCCGACTGCAAGGCCTGCACCGTTGGATCCGTCGTGTGCGCAGTCGCCCGGTACCAAGCTGAATCAGGTCAACAGTAGATTCGATGTGTACTGTATAAGGCGGTTCACCTTATCCACCAAGGGTTTCCAAGTAGCCTAAGATTAGATCGAGTTATTTCCACAAGTTGAAATCAGCATAATTACTCCTATTATGTACTCACAACAGCCTGAGATCTTTCATAATGTTTCCAAATCAACACAACCAAATACAACAACTAGTTTATAGTGCAAGCCTGGGTCAAAATGTGCCTCACACCACTCTCCCTGAGTCTCCACCCCCAAAAACTTAGCGCGAAACACATCCAACACCTCGGCTTGGATCAAACACTGGCCAAGTGTCAGCGTTGTAAACATGCTTGCCCCGCAGGACGGTGAACACCCATGAAAATTGTCTAAATCTCTTGTGCAGCTTCCACCAATTTGTAGGATCATCCCGGCGTGTTTGGCATTCTTCCGTCGATCTCCAATAGTTTTTCAATGTGGCGTTCGACAACAACAACAACAACAACAACATGGTCTCAAAAAAAACACATGTTGTTGGAATGATCTGGTTGTTGACTATGTTTAGCACACTCTCAAGTCCTGGCATTGCTCTCCAGCCTCCATCTCGGGAGTTTCACAAAGCGCAGCCGCGTGGATGATGGCCCCATGTGGTTCCTTCATCTGCACTGCCAGGGCCTCCTATAGCTGCATATCCGGCGGAGGGGCACAAAATGTCCAAGAAAAGTCAAAGTTATATGAAGGAAGTTATCGTTATATATATATACTTGAGGCCAAGGGGGGGGGCGAAAGCTAGCGCTCCAGAATGGGAAAGTGGAGGGCAGCGAGGTAGGAAAAAACACGGCGCTCTTTTTGGAGGCAGGGGTGAAGAGTCCTTTATATGTGGCTCTTTGCCCGGATCCTCCTGCGAGAGAAGAGAGAGAAGAGAGACGGAAAGACGAGAGACAGAGAGGAGAGAGAGAGAGAGAGGAGAGAGAGATGAGAGAGATGAGAAAGAGATGAGAAAGAGATGAGAGAGATGAGAGAGATGAGAGAGATGAGAGAGATGAGAGAGAGAGAGAGAGACAGTGAGACAGTGAGACAGTGAGAGTGAGAGTGAGCGAGTGCGGCCGCAAGATACGCAACGCTAACCGCATGCCAAAGAGCGACGACAGGACGGAGTCGAACTTGCGAAGAGGGAGGAGGGAGGGAGGGAGGGAAGGTGGGAGGAAGACAAGGAGGAGGAGAGGGGAGGTGGGGTGGGGAGAGGGGAGAGGGGAGAGGGGAGAGGGGAGAGGGGGACCTACAAGGACAGTGTCCATAGCCTTACTTCACCCTCTTGCTTCAACTGTCTCAGCAGGAGACACCCATTTGGGATTACCACGCATGGACTGATGGCGCTGCAACATGACCAATGGGGCCATCGCTGAGAATGGGTGATGCTGTCCACCTGCCTTTGGAGATTGGGTGGCGAGGCATATGTGGGACAAAAGCCAAAACTCTGCCAGAGACGTGCGGTGACTGAACCAAAGACACCAGAAACCGGAACACACTAGTCCAAAGGCCTGTAGTCACACAACCTTTCAATGACCTTCAACTCTAGCCATTGCAGTTACTCAGATGCATGAAGTCCAATACCTGCGAGTCCAATTTGGTCAGCTCAAAGACTATAAATTAACAGTACGAGCCCGTGTAAAATCTCTCGCCAGTGCATCCAAGAGGTTGTCATCGAAGACTCTGGCTAGTCAGCTCGTATGACTCGGAAGCTTGTCACCTAGATTGGCTTTGCCGACACCCTCAGGAGCGTCTCCTTGGTGCCTTCCACAAAGCTGGCATCGGGGAATTCCGTGGCCAAGGCCTTCTCCAGCTCCATGTCAGCGCCGACAAAGAGCAAAGCCTCAATGAAAGCTGATAGGCGGGGTGCCTAGAAGAATGCAAGAATTATGTATAATTTGATCAAGAGTTCAAGCTGCAATTGAAGTAATGAATTATGAATTGTAAACACTGTTGGCAATGCAGTGCTGGCTCATGGATGCACCACAACGTGCAACAAATCCCGAAGATGGTTGTGAATAAACCAATTTTCATTTTTTTCCTATAGAGTAGGTTTGGAGCGTATGGGATTATTCCAGTGCAAAACCTCCACTCTCCAAACAATACCTCTTAAATTGAGAACCATTTCGAGATCCTCTTTACCTCGCTACGTTCACTTCTTCCGTCCCAAGAAATGGGTTGCAATGTGGGACAAATGCCTTCAATTTTGCGATTTCTTTATTGTGAGGCATGTACTTCACACCGAATAGTTCAAACTTTTGATACCTCTCAAATAAGGATCCACGTATGCCATCCGCATGCTGCGTGGGTCCAAGCTCATTGCCCCAAAATGGTGGCCCCATGGATTCAGTGAACATAGACCAATTCCTTTGCGCCCTGAAGTCTCAGGCAAATCTGCTTGAGAAATGCTGAACAACAGAAGGGAAAACACAATTTTCGTAAACCACAGGGCGCATCACAGCCGTCCCCGCCCTGTGCAGCCCTGTGCCTGCCTTGGGCAGCATCAGGTCTTTTGTGGGAGCATTCTCCATTGGCACCCAAGCCACTTCCAGTAAGTCCTGCAGCATAGACCCCTGCATCAAAAGCAGAGTCAAAGTTCATGATCTATCAATTGAACTATTGAACATTTTAACGCCTTTTGTATAGGGTATAGGGAAAGGCACACGAGAAGTACATCAACCCTTGACATCCCCTGAGCTTTCGAAACCTAGAAGACTTCAAAAAAGGAAACCAAAGCTTCCCACTTGTGGGTTGCGGGTGGACCAAGCCTGGGCACTTCCAATCAATTGCCCCTCTAAGTCCCACCTCCTTGACACGCCCCACTTGGGGTTAAAACCGGCTGTCGCGTGCGTGGTGCATGTTCTGCCTTCCATTCGCAGGTCCTCGTCCGCATCCCCTGCACTGGCGGCCAACATTTTTGCCTTAAACGGCAAAGACCAGCTTCATGGAATTTAACGAATAAGAACGTAGTGATCCAATTAGAACATATGTTAACCTTGTAACGAGCCACTGGTTCTAGATCTTTCATGTTTTCCAGTTCTTAGCATCAGCAGCTTGAGATTATAGTACGGACTATTACTGTTCATCCAAATGATGACACTTCCGTTGATCTGTTAACTTGCTGGAATCAAATGTGTTGAATTTTTTTGGTCTGAAGGGGGCCCAAGTAAAATTCGGATTTGAAAGGGACGTCCTTTGAAATCCTCACAATACACGAATAATTTTTCGGCTGACATACCATGCCTCAATTGTTGGGTAGTAACATGTTCTTTATTTGCACTGGAAGAATGGAATTGTGCACCTAGTCAATTCCGCTCAACAAAGTGATGTTTCACCATGTTCCACCGTTTTCAAGAGAAAGCTTCGTGAGGCATAGACGGAAGTAGGGACAAATGTGATATTACAGGCGTGTGAAGGATTGCAATGGTGTGTGTGTCAACCTCTGTAACTAAAAGTTTTGAATGCAGGGGGCCAGCGGCCGACAAGCAAACGCTGGCCAACAAAGCTATGCTTGCTCGGTGGATGCGGTCAGAGACGTCTGACCGTGTACCTGCAAAGAAACTGTTGCTCACGCCATGGTGTTTCATGATACTTCCCACAAACCTTCTCCCCACCGCCGCTTTTCAGCCGCCTTCAGCCGCTCGTGAGCTGCCGTTGCGATTTCTGCAGATGCGCATAAACCATTTGTTAAAACACCTACAAGTTCTTGGACTTTTCGCCTTGCGGTTCTCTCGCCTTCCTTCCACTTGGGAATTGAATAACTGAAAACCAATGTCGGAGTGTGACTCGCTCAGTCGTCCCACTTGGGTGCTGGGTGTGATAGACCCAACCGTATTCTCTACCCCAAACACCCCAACCCCCCCCCCTTTAATTAAATTAGCAGAGGGAAATGGTACTCGGCACACTTGTGTGTCGGTGCCTTTCCCTCTGTTGTCCCTTTTCTAGCCTACTCTACTCTACCCGGGCGGTGAAAGACCAAAGTCCCGCTCCCTAACTAGTGCACCTAATTCATTCGGCTAAGTATTCAGTAACTCTAGAGTGCTAGGTAGTCATACACTCTGACAATTGTATTCAGTTAACTCAGTTCCCAAGTCAAAAGGAATGAGGGAAACGCAAGGTGACAGGGTCAGCTCAACTGAATTGTTGAACAAATTGTTCACTTGTCTGCAGAAGCGCGGCTGAACAACGGCGGCTGAAAGCAGCTGTGGGAAACCTGTTTGAGGGGAGAGTATCGTGATCAACAACCATGGCACCAAAGCACAGCAAGGAAAAGTGGAGTAGTGTCATTGCGCAGGTACGTTTTCCTGATCATCCAGTGTGGAGCTTCGTTGGCAAAGGCCACAACTGGAGATCCCTCTGCCCCCTGCGTGTGAAACTGTGGTGGAGGTGGTGGTGAAGGTGAACCCTTGGCCCAGGGGTTGACACACACAGGTCGCCGGAATCGGCGCTTTTTCCTTTCAAAAACCGGCTGCAAGCAAGTGGGTTGTGTCCTTTTTGGACGTAGAGCTTCACTAGCTCAGTGGCAGCAGCTTCAGCGCTTGAAGGTGGAAAGGTGTATTTGTGGATGGTGTGAAGTCTGGATTGGAGGCCTGATAGAGCCAAGCGCTGGCTCCCGGCGCTGGTGGCATCCCTGATTTTCCAGGGTTGTAGAGGTTGAATGTAGGTGATGGTACGTTGTTGTAGGTCAATATTGAAGCCCAGGAGGTGGAAGTCGTCAACAGGTTCAAGTTAGACTGGGTCTCCAAAGAAGTTGTGATGGATGAGGGTTTGAATGGCTGGGTGGCGGAGGAAGTGTTCGTTGTGGACAATGAATCTGTTGTCAACGTATCGGTAGTATGCAAAGTGCAGGTCGGTGTGTTGAAGGAGATTGTTGTGGATCTGGTGCCAGGAGTGTTCAATGAGGGTGATGGCGACGTTGCATAGGGCTGGAGAGAGTTGGGATCCAATCCCAGCTCCGCGGATTTGTTTGTATGTGTTATTGCAAGCCCGGAAAATGCAGGTGTCGAGTGCGTAGGCAACAATGGTGGTGATGTCGGAAGTCTGGATGGTACGTTGTGTGGGGTGTTTTTGGTGGTGTCGGCCGATGTGGGAGTGGTGGAAGGGGTTGCCTGTGGCTTGAACATCCACTGTGAGGGTGTGTGTGGATTGTTGCTGTTGCCAGTGGTGAATCATGGAGTGGACTGCGTCGATCAGACGATGCTGGGGAACTGAGTTGAAGAAGCCCACCAGGTCGTCGTTGGTGGCGCACAGCGAGATGTCTCCCGGGGTTTGGGTGAGGTAGCAGTGGAAGTGGCGCCAGAGTTGCGGGATGGAGAGCTGTCCTGGATGCTGTGGGTAGAGGTGTTGGAGAATGATGTCAAGAGCGCGGCTGGTGATGCGTAGGTTGCCACTGAGTGAGTGAAAGTAAGAGATAATGGTGCGGCCTTTCTGCCACTGCTTTTTCTCCTTGAGGTGGACCGCACCATATGGGATGTTGAAATCCTTGCGGAAGCCCCATTTATAGCGGGCGCGCAGGATGGGCGGAACAGTGGCTTTGAGGTGGTCGTGGATGTTTGCGGCTGTAAGGTATGGAAGTTGTTCAAAAAGTTCGGGAGATTGCCATGTGTTAAGGGCACCGGTGAAGTATTGGCGGGGGCAGAACAGTCGGAGTTGCTGCAGTTCATGGTCTGCATGGTGAAGTACTGTGTGTGGGCCGAGGTATTCCTGGAGCTGACGAAGCAAGCGAGCTGAAAAACGGGGTTGTTGTTTGAGATGGGTGTTGTGGAGGCGTTCCAAATGCTGTGTAAGCCCTTGAAGCTTGAGCCATTTCGTGTAGGCCGTTTGGAAAGTGAGGAAATAACGCGCCTTACTGGGATAGTAGGTGCTGCTCATGTTGGCGTTGAGAAAGATGTTGAGGTGTGGTGGGAGGTGTAGCTGGTCCAGTGTAAGAATGTAGTGGCCGTTGGTGGTTGGTGTGTCTGGATCTTGGAGGAGATTGCGAAGGTGGTTGCATGCGCAAGGGAGGTCTGCTGGATCAGGTGGTGAGTGGAGAGTGTCCTCCCAGGTGTGGTGGTTGTGGAGTTGGGATCGAAGGGTCTTGTGGGCTGCTTCACGTAGGCGATGCGATGGGAGGTGGAGGGGAATGGCCAAATGTTTGTGTTGCTGGATGGTGGTGCGGAGCCATTGTTGGCAGTGTTTTGTAAAGTCATCGTGCGCCAGGAAAGGCACTGTGAGCGGGATGTTCGGTTTGGGTGGTGTAAGATTACGGAAAAGGAGGGCTTCGTTGATGATGTGGAGAGCTCTGCTGCGGCCTGGTTCTTCGAGATTGGCGGCCATGCGCCTGATGGCGTAGACTTCGAGGTCGGTATGACGGCCGCTGCGCAGTTGTTTTGCTGCTTCAAAGGAGGCTGCTGTATGTTTGGTTTGGTTGCGGAGAAGTGTGAGAGCGTGATGTTTGGTGGAAGTGTATAGAGGTGTGGTTCCCTGATGGTGTGTTGGCGTTGTCGTAGTCGTCGAAAGAGACGTTTGTGTGTGGCCAACCTGGAGTAAAAGTGTGCTCGATGTTTTGTAAATTGCCATCCTTGAGCTTTAAGTTTGAGGTGGTGCGAGATGAAGGGCCAGTTGAGTGTGGGCATCCAGTTGGCAATGTGATGGTGTTCCTGGATCCAGGCGTGATCGTAAGTGTCGTGGGATGTGAGCTGAATGGTGGTGTAGTGGTGAATGTTGTTGCGGGAATGCCAATAGCGTAAGGAGAGTTCTGCCGAGATTGGGATATTGTTCTGGAGTGGCTTGAGCTTGGCGCGGCGGTTGTGTTCTCTGTGTGGAATGCCAATGGCGGTGGAGCCGACGTAGAAGTGGCCATGCTGGTGGTAACAACGATTTGGTGGAATGGGGTTGAAGTACAGTTTGACGTAAACGGAATTCTGGGAAAGAAAGTTTTATGGTAGTGGTAGGTATGTGGAAGAATGTGGAGTTGGCGGAAGCGGTTGCGCCACTGTTGAGATCGATGTGTTGTGGATGGATACGCAAAGAGTAAAGTGATGTGAATGAGGCCTGTCACAAAGATGGCCTCTGCGCGTTCTATGTATTGGGTGTGGTGGATCAAAAGGGATAAGGCGCGGTGGAGGTGAAAGAGATGTTGCATGGTGGTGTGGCTGGGTTGCTGCTGGCTGAGAATAGCGAGTCAGCAGCCGATGGCTGCGCCCACGCTGACCAGGTGTTGCAAAATGCGGATGGGTAGTCGGTTGACGCGACCGAGTGGGAGGCCATAGCGAGTGGCGGCTTCCTTCAATTGTTGCGTGGTGACTTTGCTTGTTTGGAGTAGGCGTAGGACTTCGTTGGCCGCCTCTTGGACTGTGGGGTCAAACGTGGTGACCCAATGCTGGATGTCGGTGTTGGTCCCAGCTGTCAGGGATGTCGTCCTTAGGGATGGGTGTGGAGGTTGCAGGACGTCAGCCAGGACGGGTGGCTTGTGTGCTGGTGGGGTCGGTGGGTGGGGTGGGTCGCCAGAGCCTGTGGTGTGGCTGGTGCCCTTCATGGGGGTGAGAGGATTGCCCAAGTTGTGGAGCTTCTGTTTTGCTCGGGCAAGCTCGTCTGTGGTGGATTTGAGTGCCTTCCGCCGGTGCCGGTGAGTGGGATTGGAGTTGCTGGATGAGGAGGTTGATCAAAGGGGCGTGGAAAGCACGTGCTTGTGTTGTCTTGCTGGGGATGTCAGTGCCTTGTGTGGTGTGGAGGGTTTCGGCGACGCCGTCCAGGTCCAGGCGTTTCTCCCGGATTTCCTGGAGGAGGTGTGTGACGAAAACGGATTCGGCCACACTCCGGGTGGCGATGAAGCCGGTGTACTTCCCATGGCTTATAAGGGTGCGTGCTGTATACTCGGCCGTGCCGTGGTATGCGAGTTGCCAGGGAAAGATGTCAAAGGTTGGGAGGCCGGCAACACCGGCCTTCCGTGACCATTGGGTAGGTTGTATTGTTCGATAGAGTGAAGTGTATTGGCGTCCCAATGGTGGTCAGTTTGGTGCCAAGAGTCTTGGAGGGGTGGCTTGGGGGAAGGGACGTGGGGGGGCGGGGGAGGTGCAGAGCCGGAGCCAGCGGCTGCTCCTGGCTGGGGACTGTGTTTGAACGATGATAGCTGTTGTGGGCAGTGGCGGAGGTGGTGGGGGCGGAAACTCTGGCTTGGATGGTGGATGAGTGGACCATAGGTGCCTGTGGGGTTGTATGAGTGGTGGCTTGTGGAAGGATGGGTAGCGGCGGCTTCTGTGGTGGCTAGCTGCTGATGTTGCTGCTGCTGGAGCAAATAGTGGTTCCTGTAGTACTGTTGCCATTGTGCGTCCATGGTGGAGTAGCGGCTGGAACTCGAGTGAAGACAATCGCAAGTAGTTGCTTGAGCAGGCTGAAAAGTTCGGTGCGCAGAGAAAGTAAAACATGGAAAGTGGCAACACAGTGCAGCCAGGGTGTGAAACATGCTCAGAGTAACTGTCAAGTTGGCTATCAGTAAGCCAAAGGAAGAAAACATGAAGGTTGAAATGCGTAGTAAAAGTGTAGCAGGTGAACATACAGCAAATGTCTGGCAGCACACGTTGCAATCGTTTTTTCGTGGTGCGTAGTGAAACAGGTGGAGGCCTCGTTGTGGATGGCTGCAATCCGAAGATTAGTGTAATGAAGCTGGTGGTTCGGTTAAGTTAGAAGAATGTGGTCGGTGGAGAACAAAACACAACACATCAACGGATCGAGAGGCTCTTGTGGCCAACATAAGGCTGAGGCGCGATCAGTGGTTGTCGGCGTGCCAGGGGTCATGTTCTGGGCGGTAGTCCTGTTGGTGAAGTGGCAGGGGGCGCCCCTGCGCATCATAGTAGCCCGATGGGCGTGCAGTCAGCAGGGTGGCAGATGCTGCGGTGTTCGTGGGTGGTGTCGTGTATTCTGGAGGCAGTGTTGTTGGGGGCGGCTGTTGTGGTTGGACTTGGTAGTAGGATGGCCATGCGTGTGGTGGTGGGGGCGAAGTGTGTGGAGGTGCTGACACAGGCGTTTGGTTGGTAGCTGCACCTTGGAAGATGGGCCATCCTGTTGCTGGAGGGACGGGTTGTAGGGGGGTTGCTGGTAGAGGGACTCTGGTGGGCTGAGTGCAGTGCTGGTGGTGGATGTTTCGGGAGAGGTTGTACTGTGGGAAGGACTTGTGTGGTGGAGCAGGCGAGTGGGGGTGGTCGAACGTGGTGGGGTCTTGGAACGCCTGTAGCGCGGGGTGCCGCCAATAGGGGAAGGAAAATCCTGAGTGTGTTCGGGTTGTGCTGGAGTGGTCACTGCAGGGGTGGGGATAAGGTTGACGTACTGCCAGCGTTCATGGGGCTGCTTGTTTGCTGCGGCAGTAAGGGTGGGTGACGTGGTGCTGGGAGTGTTGGCCGTGGTGTTTGAAGAGGTTGATTGCCCCGTGTGTGGTGTGGCTGGGATACCCGCGAACGCGGGGTAGTGGACAATGGCATTGATGTCCGTCTGGACGTGTCGGTTGTGAGTGTCCGGTCGTGGGGTGGTCTGTTGGGATTGATGGAAGCTGGGGGGTGGTATGTGTGTGTCCAGGACTGAAACCAATGGCGAAGTTGTCTGTGTGGCAGCATGCTGAAAGACAGGGTTGCTGCTGGAAGTGGCCGGCAGTGGGTAGCGTCGGAGTGGTGTAATGTTGTGGGGTGGTGAAGCAGTCTGGGGGTTGATGCGTTGGTCAGGTAGGATGGGGGAGGTGTGTGTGGTTGATATGTGGTTTGTGGTTGCGTTGGTTGTGGCTGAGAAGGGTGTACAAGGGTCCATGTGGAGTGAGGACCATAAGGCATTGCAGCTGGTGGTGCTGAGTGAAAAGGTGTTGGAGTTGGAATGGACATAGGTTGTGGAGCTGGAAGTGTTGGGTGTTGTGGTACTGGAAATGCCGGATGTTGTGGATAAGGAAATGCTGGTGCTGTATGTGGATGTGTCAAATGTGTTGTCGGTTGTGTTGGTGCGGTGGGTAGTGGAGGTGGTGTTGCATGTGAGTATGGCCAGGGATACTGCATGGGGCGTCCAGTGAAAGGCTGTTGAAAAACTCGTGACAGCTGTGTGGCAAAATCTTCGCAATGGCGGCGGCGGCGGCGCGGCACAGCAGCGGAGACTGCAGCTGGTGTAATCGTTCAAAAATTGAAATGGTAATGCGTGTTTGGAAAGTGGGTATGTGTTGTTGTGGAAAAGTAGGAGCTGTCGTCATGTAGAATGTTAGTATGTGGTGTGGGAGTGTGTTCATGCAAATCGAATTAAACTGCTGAAAACTCAGGTCAGATTGCTTGAGTACATATGCAAGATCATGCGGAAAAATGCAATCTCGGCAAAACTGGCAAATCCCGTGTTTAGGCCCGGCGGCCGTTGTGGCAGTTAATTCGGTGGAAGTGGAGGTGAATTCCAGTGAAATCCAGTGAGCGGTGGTAAGTTCCGTTAGTGATTTCCCAATGGAACGGCGCCTCCTTGCGGAGGATCACACTCAGCACCCGAGTGGGACGGCTGAGCGAGACACACTCTGACAATTGTATTCAGTTAACTCAGTTCCCAAGTCAAAAGGAATGAGAGAAACGCAAGGTGACAGGGTCAGCTCAACTGAATTGTTGAACAAATTGTTCACTTGTCTGCAGAAGCGCGGCTGAACAACGGCGGCTGAAAGCAGCTGTGGGAAACCTGTTTGAGGGGAGAGTATCGTGATCAACAACCATGGCACCAAAGCACAGCAAGGAAAAGTGGAGTAGTGTCATTGCGCAGGTACGTTTTCCTGATCATCCAGTGTGGAGCTTCGTTGGCAGAGGCCACAACTGGAGATCCCTCTGCCCCCTGCGTGTGAAACTGTGGTGGAGGTGGTGGTGAAGGTGAACCCTTGGCCCAGGGGTTGACACACACACACACACGGACACACACATGTACATACACCTCCCTGCCCCCCACTTTCCTTCTTGCGCTTTTGGTCGTTTGTTGGGCTTTCTCTCAGGCTTTTTAGGTTGTTCTTGAGGCTCGTTTCCCTACCCCAGTCAAGGGCTAAGTATTCACTTTTTTCTACTCCTACCTTTCTCTCTTGCCCTCTTAGCGCTGCTCTTTCTGTGTTTCTTTCTTTTGCTTCTAAGGCTTTTTAGGTACCCATTCAGGTCCTGCGCGCGAGCGCCGCAAAGCGGCACCGTGTGTGTGTGTGTGTCAACCTCTGTAACTAAAAGTTTTGAATGCAGGGGGCCAGCGGCCGACAAGCAAACGCTGGCCAACAAAGCTGTGCTTGCTCGGTGCATGCGGTCAGAGACGTCTGACCGTGTACCTGCAAAGAATCTGTTGCTCACGCCATGGTGTTTCATGATACTTCCCACAAACCTTCTCCCCACCGCCGCTTTTCAGCCGCCTTCAGCCGCTCGTGAGCTGCCGTTGCGATTTCTGCAGATGCGCATAAACCATTTGTTAAAACACCTACAAGTTCTTGGACTTTTCGCCTTGCGGTTCTCTCGCCCTCCTTCCACTTGGGAATTGAATAACTGAAAACCAATGTCGGAGTGTGTCTCCCTCCATGTCCCTCTCAAAAAGGGTCAATTCATTCAATTTCAATCAATTTTCTACGGAACTGCAGAATAGCCACAATCATAGTGCCACACCTCATCGCGGTCTGCAAACACACACCTCCACGCGACCTCACCACCCAAAATTAAACTCGACAAACGCTGCAACCCAGCTGCAATATGCTCAGGCCTCACTTCACGCAAGCGCATGCGGTCCTCAGTCGGGTACAAACGCCTGGACATGGAGAGTGTGTAAAACGGTTCTTCGATTAACAAGACCGAAGAGTGGATGCCCGAAACCGTCATCACTCCTATGGAGTTCGCGGTCGTGGCAAGAGGTACCGGTGGCCACCAACGTCTTCTCGTTCACAAAATATAATTCCGAGGATTCGAGCGGCCATAGTCATGACCACAGTCAAGTCGTCTCTGGCCAGCTGCACATTCGTCTCCTAGTAGCAGCAACAAAAACAAAACAGTATCCACACTCATTTCACCACAAGGCAGGATATGTCCCTAGACAAGGGGATCCCTGCAAAGGGCACTTCCAACTGCAATATATTTGCCAGCAGCAAGGGAATGAATATCAAAGTCAGCAGTCATTTCTATTTGGGAGACAATGGGATAAGTTCAAGTAACTATACAATAGCCACTACATCTTAATCTTCTACTGTAATCCCAATCAAAGTCAATGGTTGCCCACTGAGGCCCAAACCATCTGCTTCTCGCCATTGTCCAGCAGCACATGGTGGACCCAAACCTGCGGACATGCCTTCCTTCCAAACCACAAAGTAAACTTCCAACTCCACCACTCAAACATGGGTTCTGGGGTGTTATGTTGCAGGGCTTCTGTTTTTAAGTTCGCCCGACAAAAAGCATCTATAGATCACCTCAAATGAAGAATTGTCAAGTCACATGTGGTTCCAGGCGGTGAGAATGCCTCCACTATTGTTTGATTTAGAAGTATGTATATATCACATATAGAGACACACTCAGAAGTCCCAGGGGTGGCTTTGGCCAGGGTCTCGCAATACCGTTGATTGGTCCCTTTTCTGATGTTTCAGTGGATGTCTGGTCACATTTCAACCAAACAAGCTAATCAAACAAACACCTGAAATGACAACTGCCTTTCCATGCGACAGGGTGTTCAGTCTTGAGAATCACAGCCTAGTCGCTCCACGCAAACATCACCGGCATGACCCTTGCGGACACATGGTTCGCTCTGCACGCCTTGGGGGAGAAGCCTTGGCCCATGAGCTGCACTTTGTCGATGGACAAGGGAATCCTCAAGCTCGGCAAGGCCTCGCAGCCGATTTGAAGGCGAGAATTGTGAGGCCCCCGGGCTGTAAGCGCTGAAAGGATCGACAATGTTCACTGCGTGCACACTATTTGGAAGCACAATGCAAAACAACTACAGAACCAAACATTCATAAATCTCTCCTGTCTTGCCAAAAGAGGCACTACACTACCTCCCAGCTGGTGGTGTCCAAATGAGCCTCCAAGTTTTGGAAGGCACAGCTTGCTTGGAAGGATCCGTCAATGACCGCTGGACCTCAGACAACTGAGGACCCTGCAACCGGAACGGTGGTTGGCTTTTGTTGTTTCTGTTCTTACTTTGTCTGAAAGCATCCCCAAATGCCCCGTCTTCGAAAGTCCGTGCACCCCTTTCACCTTCGTACAAAGCAAATTGCGCTCGTTTCCTAGGTCCCTGACCTTACATTGTCTTGCAAAAACAATGTGTTAATACTAGAATGCATGGAACAACTAGTCTTGTACTTCTTTGGATTTAATGTTCCATGCTTCTGGATTCTGGATGTGCTTTCTTTTCGACATGTTACTCATTTACCAGGTCCCTGACCTTGTCTGGCAATAGAAAGCAGAAAGGCAGGAGGCTCGTCATTGGACTTTGTTATACTGGATAATGAGGCAAAGGACCAGTGGGTCTTTGGCAGGAACAGGCACTAGTGACTTTCTGATCTGGTGAGAGTAGCCTCATTACCACAGCCTGGCTGCCGAACATCCTTCAGCTGGCTAAAGCAAACCATCACCCCTTCCTCAGAAATAACAATAGGGTAGTCCTACAAACTCCAACCACACGGGAGGTGCAAACCAGGCAATGATTCTGTTTGTGGGGGTAAAAGCCCTTTGGTCAACAGTCCAAGGTTCCAAAAATGAAACCGGCGTTGGTGCCGTCCTCTTGCGCCGCCACCCAGGCAATAATCTCGTCCTGGAGGTGCTTCGGACAAAATATGGGGAAAAGGAAAAGGATGGGGACCAAAGAGCATAAGGAACATATGCAGCATAATACCAAACTGCACTTTTGGCATTGAATATGGATCTTAGGGGATTTGCCGTGTGATTCATGGTTAGGTGCGCAACCTGCAACATATGAGAACTACGTATTGCAAGTAGCCTTTTATGCATCGATTGTCTCGTTCCTGAACCAATACTGAAACAACCAATTAGATTCAGAATTGATTTGCAGAAATTATATGCTTTATGTCTCGGTGTTTTGTTGATTTGTCATCGATAATAACACTTGTGGTTTGGAGATGTTTCGGAGCGCAACCCGTCTGCAGGGCGCTCGGACGAACACATCAGAATGGAAGTAGAACAGCCCTTGCAAGAACTTTACATGACATGTTTGTCATCTTTTTGTTGGCCATCCATCCACTTCCCTGTGAGAAGTTTGGAGGGTAAGTCAACGTAGCCTCGCCAGTCACACAATCATGAAACTTGAAGTTCAACCTGTCCAGCACTGCAAAAAACTAGCGTTCCAACGGTGGGTCGTTTTTCTTAGACTTAGACCTAATGATTGAAGATGCCAATCTGAGTGCTCCTGGATGGTTCAGTATGGATGAAATTTGCAAACACTGCGCAGCGCATGATAGTTTTCTTCGTGCTGGTTGTGTTATGTTGCGTTTATATAATTTTGTACTTCTATAATATACTTATTCTGGCATGCAATCCTACAAAACCTGCAGTCCCACGGAATTGGTTCAGAACGCCCAAAGTAATGAGACACCTTAATTTGCTGCACATATATCCAATGATTCTTGCCGAACGGCCTGAATCCCGAGTGACATATGATTCGTTGAATGAACTAGGATTGGCTAGGATCACTGGGATTTGAGAGCCATTTGATCTGCTTGGCAACTGCGAACGCCTCACAAACCATTTATTGGCACTATAAACCATGAAATCACACGATCAGTTCTCCCCGCAGCCCGGCACCCTTTGTTTCCTACAAACCCAACCACTTACAAAAACATGCAAGATACATACCTTCCAGAGTGGAACTTCAATTGCCTTTTTTTTCAAGGAACACACACGTCCTCAGAGCGCTTGATGGTGCGCACAGTACGGAAACGAGGTTGGAGTGGGAGACCGATGTTGGCGAAAGGCACCTGGGCTCAAAAGTGAACGCCAAACGGTGGGGTGAGTTGATGAAGCTGCGAAACAGTCACATTGTATGGCTTTGAGTTAGGGGAACGGTTGGTTAGTCTGGTGGCAAGATGTGAGCAGAAGGTTGGCAAACCCTCAGAAATAGACGCACGCTCCAACACCGTCAAGAAACCTACCAAGAGGTACATGTGTCACCACCAATGTCGGATGGACGAGCCACATACATGCGTGCATCCTCCACTTCTTCAGGACACCGCCCTCGGATTTCTTCCAGCGGCAATTGTCTCAGCTCGGCCGCTGAAGATGTTGCCTGTCTTGGCACAAACGCACGAACCGTCATCACCAGACCGATGAAGGCGACGGACTTGCCTCTTGTCTGCATAAAGTTTTCTCATAGTTTTCTGGTATATGGGCACATGTACAACTTGTTGCAAAAAAAAACCAGTCTGAGCACGTGATCTATTGTTTCTTTCTCGCTTTGCGCGTGGATCCCCAAGCTCACGCAGCCAGCATAATAAGTTTTGCCTTGTGCACTTCACTAAGTGGTGGCCCAACTACAACAAGTTCCATTGCAATCCATTGCAGTGGTGCAGCAGCTCCTCTGCGTCATGACCTGTACAAGGGGATGCCAGCTGGTCCCAAACAGCCAACAAAAAAATCCATCTGTTCAAGCAGGATTGCGCGCTGTGCAGCTAGCTAGAGAAGAATCGTAAGACTCAGGTCTCGTTCTTGCATTCCGGCCCAAACCTCCGATTTGTGTCATCTTCCTTGCCCTCTCTGGTTTAGACAACAAATGTGTATATAAGACAACGATGTCGGCCTACTCCATTGAAGCCAACGGGCGAAGAAGCACAAAACTTTCCCAAGTCCAGAAAACATTCACACACAACCACATGGACATGGACACCTTGAAGAAGCACAGGCTTGGTCAATGGGAAATGGCTTGTGGCACCCTGCTTTACCCCAATTATCCCGGCAAGAGACCCCAAACAGTGCGTGTGAGGTCTGAAAGCGGAAAGTCTAGAGATCTAGACGCATTGGGGTCCAGAGCGGTGATGGTGGTGATGAAGTGAAAGTGGGTGTGAGTGAGTGTGGGTGAGAGGGAGTGTGAGTGTGAGTGAGAGTGGGAGAGTGAGTGTGAGTGCGGGAGAGTGAGTGTGAGTGAGGGCGAGTGTGAGTGTGAGTGTGAGTGAGAGTGAGAGTGAGTGTGAGTGAGCGTGAGTGAGAGTGAGTGAGTGTGGGTGAGAGTGAGAGTGTGTGTGCGAGTGAGAGTGGGAGAGTGAGTGAGTGAGTGCGAGTGTGAGTGAGAGTGAGTGTGGGTGTGAGTGAGTGAGAGTGACTGTGAGTATGGGTGAGACTGAAGGTGGGTGAGTGAG